CAAATACTATATATTATTATGTATCAGACCTCAAGTCATTGTCTATATAGTTATTTATGTATAACTTTATAATTGGTGTACTTATTTGTATAGTTATATTACACATCGTAATGGATCCCTATATCAAATAATATTGATGAAATTACCAGTATTTTGAGTTCTTCCGTTAATTTTCATTCGAAATGAATTATCGGACACTATTCATCTGGCCTGCTAGAAATTGGCGAGAACGCAGATTTAAATCTGAGGCTAACTTCAGCCACATTGGGTTATGAAGATGCAATCATAAAAATTTCGGTGAATGTTATTTCTTAAGTTTTATCATAGATTGTTCTCTATCTATGGTTTCATTTTTATTCAGACACAGCACATTTGCATTGAAATATTGTTCACCTTTAGCCATTGTCGCTAATGATATCTTATTGAGTTTGTTATATACAAAGATATGAGATATGAACAACAAATATCAAGTTATGGACTCACCCTTTTAATCAAAAATCACTCTGTAAGTTCAATCACATCACCACAAACTCAAATGCGCATTGACTGAACTTCTCTCGATTAAACCGAAAAACAGACTAACCGTCCTATTGTTACACAACAAAACAAACACGTTAAATTTATTTATCGCAGAGCTGATGATTCACAAGAAAAAAATTACCAAAAAAACTCACAAATATGTACATCGATATGAAAGGAATACAGGGAGGCATGAGTTATAACTGATTCGTACAGGGTGACTGAGAATTTCCTCATCAAGCGATATCTTGGTAATTTCATAAGACGAAAAGATGAACTAAAAACAATTTTGATCAATATCAACAAGCTTTCTCTACTATACCCTGGAAACATAATTACTTCTCATAACTATCAAGACATCAATCTCAACTTTTTTTCAAATCGAATCCTCAACTCCTCTCCAGTTCATTTTGAACACAATTACTATCCTGGACGACCACTTCCTACAGGGTGAGACAGAGTTATGGTACACGTCTCTTTTATTCCTCCACTTTGAAAGTTTAAATGGTATGTCACCGGAAGTGCTATTAGTATTATTGATTTCCAAATGGAACACTCTCTATAGTATATATAGTACCTATATATACAGGGTGTCCCAAAACTGCTGGGACACAGAGTTACCACGTGTAGAGGAGGTCAAAATAAGTTGATTGAACCCAATTTATGTATGTGACAAAATGTACCGTTTGTCCTTGAGAAGGGTTCAAAGTTAACATAAAAAACACACTTTTGGACTTTTGTACGCTGTTCAGAAATAAGCGAAACGAATTTGATTAAATTTGGCAATAGTGTATTTCAGAGGATTTCTTTCTTTTTGGTAATCGAAGAAATTTAAAAGAAATTGTAGAAGGGTTTAAACTAGGGCTGGGCGATATTGGATTTCACATTTCGATTATCGATAAGTCAAAACATATCGATAAGTTCGATATATCGATAAGTCTAGAAATATCGATAAGTATCAATATATCGATAACTATTGATAGCTATAGATATATCGATATGTCAATAGTTATCGATATATCGAAATATTGGTACATTGATAACCATCGATATATCGGTAACTATCAATTTTGTTTCAAGATATCGGTAAAAACAAACTCATTTTAATTGTGTGGCTCTTAGAAGCTCTCGTGATATCCAGACAAAAGTTATAATGCCGTACAGCAACACAATTTCGTGAACACTAAAACGATAGAACTATCTCAAGTATTCAGAACATCGTGATCATGTTGAGAAAGAATTGCTTGCTATCGATATATCGATAACTTCATAATCCTTAAACAGGGTGTATCTTAAATGATGACTTTAATTTCAGGTGCTGATTCCTTGTCATATTTCATGACAAAAAGTTCATATAAACGTGTGTCCTAACTTGCTCCGTTTTTGAGTAACGGGGTGTCCAAAGTTTAATGAAATATCAGTTTTTCATGAATTACTCAAAATACTGTGCGCCGATTTTGATTAAACTTCGTGTGTTTGTGAGTTGTAATACGAAGCTTCTTTTCATGAAAGTAGATTTTGAATTTCGTTTCCAGTGGTGTGGCAGAGGGTAACCTGATTGATATTCAAACTGCTAGTTTATTTCTATTTCATTCCACTGGAAACAAAATTCAAAATCGGCGAACAGTATTTTGAGTAATTCATGAAAAACCGATATTTCACTAGACTTTGGACACCCTGTTACTCGGAAACGGAGCAAGTTAAGACACACGTTTATATGAACTTTTTGTCATGAAATATGACAAGAAATCACCACCTGAAATTAAAGTCGTCATTTAAGATACACCCTGTATATCGATGTATCGATGGTTATCAATATACCAATATTTCGATATATCGATAAATCTATAGTAATCGATAAATCGATAGTTATCGATATACATTGTTATCCGATATATCGATAAATTAATCGATATATCGATTTTTTTCCCAGGCCTAGTTTAAAACATCCTCACCCTCTGAAATTATTTTCAGAACTTTGCTAGGGGTCATAATACGGTTTTGAAATTTCTTGAGTTTGAAGACTAATCAATTACCTTCATTTTATTACTCTTGTAAAAATTTCGTATACCGCATAGTTTCGGAGAAAAAAAAATGTTCTCTCAAATAATGCTACCAGATATTCCTATAGTACAAGTTTAATTAAATTGTGATATAAAACAATAGCAGAACGTTTCTCTATAATAAAAGTTCAATATGACGCTCACCTTCATTAATGCAAATATCAATTCGACGTAAAAAATTGAAATGCACCCTCCTCAGGACATCGTCATTGTCTAGTAGTGCGTCAACGGCATTTTGGATTATGTTCCACAGCTGTTCGGAAGTATCAATTTGAACTTCATACACTTGTGTTTTTAACACTCCCCAGATTAAAAAGTCGCACGGATTCAAATCTGGAGACTGGAGGCCATTGAATATGTGATTTGTCCCCTACCAATCCATCTATCAAGAAATTGTTCGTTCAGATATTGTCTTACTACGCGTGCAAAATGAGGTAGTGCACATTCGTGCATGAAGAACATGTTTCGACAAACATTGAGGGACAAGTCCTCTAATGAATCTGGCAAAATTTCTCTAAGAAAGTAGAGGTAACTAGCACCATCAAGGCGATCTGGCAATCGGATCGGCCCAACCAAAAATGTTTCGATAAATCCGATCCAAACATTAATTTTAAATTCTCGTTGATAGTGTCTAGCTTTAATGGCATGTGGGTTTTCATCAGCATATACACGCTCATTGTGCAGGTTCGTCATGCCACGACGTGTAAAACACGACTCATTGGAAAAAAATATTAGAGTGACATCTTTTGTCAAGTAGTCTGCGCTCTCGAACAATCTGTAAAAAATTTGAACGTGATGCGTGGTCAAGTCGTACTATCTCTCGCACAAACTGTATATCAAATGGATAAATTAATTGTTCTCTGCAGATCCGATTTACAGTGTTTTCTGGAATTCCTGTTTGTCGTTGCACAGATCTGGTACTTATCTCGGGATTTTCATTGATTATTTCAAGAACAGTTTCTTCCGTATTAGGTCTTTGGACTCGGGGTCTTCCAGCGTTAATTCTAACTGGTTGTAACATCCCTGTTTTTCAAAGACGTCTCTCAATTCGGGCAAAAGTTCAATGATTCGGAATCCTCCGGTTTGGATACCTCTCTTGTTATACGCGGGATGAATTAATTGTTACCTGAAGATCCGATTCACAGTGTTTTTTGGAATTCATGTTTGTCGCTGCACAGATCTGGTACTTATCTCGGGATTGTCATTGATTATTTCAAGAACAGCTTCTTCGGTATTAGGTCTTTGGACTCGGGGTCTTCCAGCGTTAATTCTGACTGGTTTCAATATCCCTGTTTTTCGAAGACGTCTCTCAATTCGAGCAAAAGTTCTATGATTCGGAATTCTCCGGTTTGGACACCTCTCTTGGTATACTCATGCACTTCTGCGACAGTTACCTTGACAGAATTCAAAAACTAAGATCATATCGGTCTGCTCATCATAAGAGAAATCAATATTTGATTGCAGTTAAAATAACAACAACAATTGAATAATAATAAATGGTCGGTAATAACAAAAATGAAGAATTTATTCTGGAACATTTTATGATATAAAGAAAAAGACCATCATTTTGACAAAAATAACAATTCTTGGTTTTCTTTGGTTAGTAATTTCAATTTTGTTGAAGTGTATTCTTATCTCGATTGAACAGGCTTTCTGTTGCTTCTTTGGTCTGGCATATTATAATAATGCTTCAATTTTATTTAGATTTGCATAAAGTTACTGGTGCTTTTATAATACAGGGATTTATTTTGTTCATTTTGATTTTATGGGTCATTTCTACAGATTGTTTTTCCATTGGTTTTATAATTATCGCTTTTTGATTTATTTTTGTTGTCAATTCACTATTACTGGCTTCAACAACTCTTTGAATACTGTATTTTGGAATTTTCATTACTATCTTCAACAACTCTTCAACAATTTTTTCATCCATTTGTTTCATAATTGAGGAAATATCTGTGGAAAACAAGTAGTGGCATAGCATTTCTTAATGAGTGGTTTACAGTCTTTACGAAACCACGTGATGAGTTCTATTAAAGATGATATTTGTTAAAATTGAAGAAGGGAAATATTCAGGCATTCTGTGTGGAAAGGTTTCATACACCTACCTGCATAATATAAAAATGTTTCGTTATTTTATATTAACAATGAACATATTCCATATTCTTCATTTTTATTTCCAGGTTTTTCTTCAAATAGGTTTGTTGATTTTCCACATTCTCGGAGATCTTGTGAGCAAATGTTGCAATCTCTCATGCAATTACCTTCATTTGAACTTTTATTTCAAGAAACAGTTTCACTCAATGGGAGTTTCTGCCGTGTATGTATTCTCAACAAATGGTGAATTTCTTTCATATAGAAAATAATAGACATTATATTTTAAAATAGAAGGAGGTTTTCTTTTGGGTAATTTATTTTCTTCTATCTATAAATATTTTGACATAATAAGCAAGATATGTTTAATCTATGATACGACATTGAATTGCCTATACTTCTTATACGAGTTTTTATATCTACACGAGTGTTACAAAAAATAATCGGCATAACAATATATTCAGTATAGAGCATAGTACATACCTATATAAAGTACTATTGATAGAAATGCTGCTCCTCACAAAAAATGAATTAGAATTTCAGGCTAAATCCTGGACCACCTCTTCCTCTATCCACCCCCATACCTATCCGGAATCCATATCCATCTTCATCACCATCTTTACCCTAAAAAATACAAATCAACTAGGAAAGTTGTTCTTCAATACCATCTTTAGATGGAAAATACTGTGTCCCTCCATAAACGTCTATGTTACTTGGAAATAATGAAGGTTATTATTATTATATTTATTTCTATTATTATTATATGATTTTCCAGCAGTCTCCTTTTAATTCAATAAGAACGCTGAATCTTTCAGTATTATAGTATCCTGAGATTTCAAACATTATCATCCGCCATTTCGTTTTGGATGCAAATTTTTGTCGAGTTCTATAGATAATTGGAAGACGTTTTCAATGAGGTATCACTCGACCCCCCATTCCATTCAAAAAATCTTTCAAAATGGCTTCCAGGCAAAATTCTGAAGGATACATATTTTTTATGAGAATCAAAATAAAGCACTAAAACTACCATCGAAACAGAATGAAATTTCAAAAAGAAATCCCAGCCGTTCAAAAGTTAACTAGGGGAAAGTGGTTTACTTAATGGACACAGTCATAGCCCTCTCTAAAGAAAGCCGCGCTGAGGCAGTTCGGCAACACTGTCCAAAAGGTATTTCTCCGGCCATTCGCACATATACGATATATGTTTTGTGAATGCAACGGAGTGAACTTGTTTAGTTTTCAAGAGTAAATCGATGTGTTATTAGGAATATTCTACTGATCGAGTTAAATTTGAAAGGTGTTTGTGTATGTGTGAGTGTGTGAAAGTCCATCAAATATTGTTTTTGAATTGAGGATATGTTTTTTGTTTTCTTATTTATTTTGTGGAAGCAAATTAGTAATTTTGACGATTCTAATAACAAGATGCCGAATAATTGTTGTGTGACAGGGTGTCAGTCAAATTACGTTTCGGAAAAGGGGTATATATGTATCTGAACATTCTGCAGTGTGTACAATTAATTTCGATTATACAGATATTATAAGATGTGATACCCTCTGTTAGTTTAAACAGCAGTTCCCTCAATTTTTTCGAAGTTACCAAGTTATCTCTCTAAACCTACTACATCATTAACCCTTTCGCTGCGGCGCGCTCGAACCGGCTTTGATTCCCTCAATGCGCTAATAGACCTCATTCGCAGGGGAGCGTCAATATTTGTCATTTGAACTCTCATTTATCTCTTAATCATCACCACTGAATTGATTTTTGCATTTTATTATCAATAACAAACAAGAAAATGAAGAATAAATACAAAAAAAATATCAAAAAAACTTGTATTACCTACAAAAAACATTTTTATTGATTTCTGTAGGTCGCAATACCATTTATTACACTCTTCAAGCACTACTAAACATACAAAGGACTCGCCCACTGCTTCAAAACCAGCCACTGACTAGCTCAAACAGGTCAAAAATAGTGAATAAATAACTAATAGGCGAATATGCAGCCACAGCAAGAGAAACGCAGACACGAAAATAAAATGACACATTTATGCACCATCCGCAGCGAAAAAGTTAAGAACGAAACCCGATGAAAGACGTCAGAAATGTTTAGTTGTTCAAAATAAAAAATATTTGGTTCAATTACGAGCAGCTAGTGCAAAAAAAATTACAATTGATAGTTGAGATTGAAAAGTCCATAAGACAGAGTAAAATCTATTTTCATATTTTTTACTAGGTTCTCAGTCAGAAGTATTGAAAATAGCTTTCCAAGTTGTAGTAACGAATGAGATGCACGTCCAAGTTTTATTAGGTTGGAATTCAATGATTTAAAATGGATTCGATGTAAAATAGGACTTGCCAGTTGTTTATTTCATCTAAGAAACTGAATAAAACCTGACCGGACCCATTATTCCTTGCTATTTTTTAAATCAAAGTTCAATTATTCCGAAGACAGGAATTGACGTTACGTTAGCACTGTCAGTGGTAACGTACCATTGTTTGCCTATGTCGCCGTGGTCGCCAGTCGAGATAAGGCTTTTCGGATCACGGCGATTGCAGTGTTGCATTTCTCTCACCATGGCTGGTCATAAAGCCGGCTGTGTCACAGTGAATATCAATACCATTACACAATATTAGGAACTTACAAAATCGAACTTGAAGTAAATATCTAATTTATGCAACATCGACAATTTTGAATCATAATGTGAAATATAATGTTCATGACGATCAATGGATCAATGATAACGACAACTTACCAGTTTCTTGTATTCTCCTCCACCAGAAGGCGGTTTGGGACTGGCAGCTAGCGCCCTTTTCTGTCCCAGTTCGCTCTTTGCAGGCCACGTGGGGAACATGGCAGGATCGATCGGTAACGGGGGCTCTGTGAAATACCTGTAGAGAAGAATTCCTGTATTGGTGAATCAGTTATGAAGATATTATTTGAAAAACACTGTGAACAATTCGAAGTTATAAGTCGAGCATTCAATTTTACATACCCGTGTTCCATGGCCTTTTCAGCTGTGACCCTTTGAGCAGGGTCGTAGGTTAAGAACTTGATGAGCATGCCCAGACCGATCTCGCTCAGAGTGTTGAACTTGCCGCGCAGGTTGGAGATGGGGTATTCGTTGAACTTCATTTTCTTGACGGCCGGCAGCTGATTGAAGCCCGGCCAAATTTTTTCGCTAGGCGTACCCAAATCCTGTACAATATTGATGCATCTATTTATTATTCTCTACAATTCTCATCAAAGTATTATGAAGCGGATGGATTGGCAATTCAAGTTTGCATGGTTGAATTCAAAGGTTTTCATTTAATGTTACTCTCTTTAATTCTGTATTGACTTTTGAGTTTTTCTTGTAATATTCCAAAAACACAACATTTTCAGAAAAATTCAAGAGCGGAAATAGTGAATATAGATAGGAAGATAAAATAGAGCATAAGTTAGAACGACAAAAGTTAAGAGTATGAAGGGGTGGGTACAAAAAAGAGAAAAGGGAGAGAGTATTTGCAGCAAGGATCAAAAGATTTGGAATGAGCTGATGAATAAATATTCATACACCAATGCTGAAGGAATAGTACATTATGTGGTACATTATACAACTAGGGAATAACGAGGTATTTTAAATTCCTAGACAAAAAGTTTATAGCCCCACCAACGTATGTGCTAATATTTCCTATGGTGTGTATTTATCAACACACATTTATTATCTCATTTTCTACTTCTTTACAGTTTGGCTACCTATAAAATGGTGTTTCTTTAGTTTTTCCAACTATTATTTATTTTTTCTACACTAAGCCACTTTGATAAAATATGTTCTGGTTTTTGCAAGAACCTTAAAGAATATATTGTATGCAACTATTGCAAATAAGTGTGAATTGCACTTGACGTGTAGTGACAAATTTACGTCGCTTGTAATAAACACTTACTCTTTGCACTTGTTGCATAAATAATTATTCATAGGAGTCAAGTCATAATGTTTGTCGGTTACTCAACCGAAAAGATACATATAATAATAAAGATGGAAAGCCCTAATTTCGACAATGGAAAATGAAAAATGAGTAACCGACAAACATTATGACTTGACTCCTATGTATGATTGCCTTCGGACATTTCCTTATACAAGGAAAGACAATGCCAGAGGACGAACGGGGAAATATGGAGACTGTATAGTACCATCCTGCCAGTGATGCTTCGTATAGTGCATGATTTCGAGTGACTTTGGGAATTGGAAGGATTCTGCCACCTGGTGTGTGATGAGAACTCGACCTCCCAGCCGATTGATCGACGGACGACCCGTTAGCTCAATTGGCAGAGCGTTGGGCATGTAACCCAGAGGTAGTGAGTTCGACTCTCACACGGGGCGGTGGAGTTTTTCCATTTTCCATTGTCACTCGAAATTAAGGCTTTCCATCTTTATCATTTTAAATAATTGATATCCACCCACCTTGAATATCCTATTGAGCTGATCGACCTCGGACTTCCCAGGGAAAAGCGCGTTCATCTGCACCAGTTCCGCGAAGATGCACCCCACCGACCACAAGTCGATGGGCGTGGAGTACTCCTTGGCGCAGAGCAGCAGCTCGGGCGCGCGGTACCACAGCGTGACGACGATCGGCGTGTAGCCCTTCAACGGCGAGCCGTACTCCCGCGCCAGACCGAAATCGCCCACCTTCATAACAATTTTTGATTTGCAGCTTCTTCTTGGGGTTTTGATTCGGTTTCATGAGTAATTTCAAGGTAGAAAAACGTTTTGCCCATGGTCATGGGCTATGTCAATTTATTAATATTTAATGAACCTGTAGATAATGGTTTTCATTGTGAATGGTTCACATTGTGGAATGATAGTGACGACAACTAAACCAAAAAAGAGATACGAACCTCAACCAATTCATAATTCCTATGAGTCATCAGAATGTTGTGATTTTATTTGATAACTCATAGGAATTATGAATTGGTTGAGGTACGTATCTCCTTTTTGGTTTAGTTGTCGTCAATATCATTCCACAATGTAAACCATTTACAATGAAAACCATTATTGTTCTAAAATTGTTCTATCCGTCATTCGGTTGCCCCCTTACGAGCAACCCTCAGAAGTCTTCAAGAGTCTTGTGCGAGCAAGGAATGACGGGGGCCTTACCTTTTAACGTGTGATCCCAAACACTTTCTTGGGCCATCAGAAAAATTTCTGCAGTCGATGAAAATCGAACCCACGACCGGCAAGCGAATGCGGATTAGAATATAGACACTCTGTCCGCACGGCTACCTGGCCCATTACATTATTTACAGGTTCATTAAATATTAATAAATTGACAAAGCCCATGGCCATGGGCGAAACGTTTTTCCACCTAATCTTTTGAAATTACTAATGAAACCGAATCCAAACCCCAAAAAGAAGCTGCAAATCAAAAACATAACAGGATTCAAGAAAATCCCTCAACAAACTTCATAACAATGATAATAATGACTACCTACGGAAAAGCCAAAAATGCTCAAAGTGGAATGAAATGTTGAATAAATATACAAAGCTCAAAGTTATTTGCACAAAAGTGCATAAATGAACTAAATGAGAGAGATAACGAGAGAGAAAAACAACTACTTTCCTGGCTATATGCCACGCAGAACATTGAATTACATCCTACGGAAATCTATGCAACTATTGGTATAGACGAATAAGATCGCAAGTGTTTTCTTCCTAAATGCTGAAATGAACGGCAATGTTCAGAATTCCGAAGCATTGACGTTCTATAGACGAACGAGAAGTGTTGTTCGTTGAATTCATTGCTAGACAACAACCATCTGCTTGTTGACAACTACAAAATATTGCTATATTCGCAGTAGTCAAGGTCATTATCTGATATTGCGATGACATGAAAACTACATAAAACATTCCTGACTTCTTTTTTTCCGTAGTTTTGATGCCATCGCAACGTCAGTTGATGACCTTGGCTACCGCGAATACTAGATAATGCTGACGCGTCCGGGCCATTATTCACGAGCTCAGTTAGATATGTATATGCAGATGAAATAACACTGACTAGGGTCTCTTGATGTAAATTGACGTATTTGTCATCTTAACAGGGTACGGACAGATCCTCATCTCCTCTCACTCTTCAGTGTTTGTGAAACAGTTATATAGTTCCATCTATCACTAGATTTCTGACATTTGTTTTTAGGTTATATTGAGGACATTGGCGTATCATTCAACTCTACATATTATATCCAAATGATGATGATAATTTTCGAGTTATTGATTGTTCACCTGAAGCATAATCTTTTTGAGGCAGTCAGCAAATTTTTCTGAAAGTTTAATGCGTTTTACCAAATGGGACTGTTTGGCAGTACCTATCAATAAATGAATTTTGATTTCTGACTAAGCCTTATGGTTGAGAAATGGTGAAACATTTTTTGTAGGTATTCAAATTAATGTGCTCATATGTCATGTGTGCTGTAAATATTCATGTTGGGAATCATTTTTGCAGTTTTTCACGAACACTTAATATTGCCTGTTCAATTTTTCAAATGGTAAGGCATATGCCTTTTCTTTTAATTCTCCGTTTTAATCAAAACTGTTTCTACTAAAATGCATTCAAAAACTTGTGGAGTGTATAATTATAGGCACAATGACAAAGTATAATATGTGATTTCATATTAGTTTTACCTCGAATATTTTGCTGATGTATTTACCAATTTTACCCATTCAGTCACTTCACTTTCCATGTTCTAAGTTTATTTGTATTTGATGGAAAGCTAACAAATTCAAATTTGCCATCCAACTGATTGATACAGCCTAACGCAGCACATTTCACCGTCCTTCTAAAACAGAATTGAATAATGTCGTATTAAGATAAAGTATGAAATTAAAATTTTGTAAGATCTCTTTTAACGCCTATGAATGTGACGTGACAGCAATGTCATGTCAGAGACGCCAATACACGAAACCAAAGTCACTAGATGATTAAAAGTGAAAGGAGCTATGGTCTGTTTGTAAGTATGTACCCTGTTAGATGACAAATACGTCAGTTTGCATCAAGGCACCCTAGTACTGACTAGTCTTATCAGGCATTGGTTAATTTACTTATGTTCATTGTTCATGTATTATCCATGTAATCTTTCAATAATAGGGGTATCCCATAAATAAATGAAAATAAAATAGAAAAAATAGACAGGGCCTAGTTCTATTAATCCAAATACGACCTTATAAAACTATAGGACAGGTTAGCACTCGGAAAAAACAGAAAAAAAAAGAAAATATTTGAACACTTTTGATTTCTTGGAAATCGGGTGGGACACTCACCTTGAGTATGCCCTTATGGGACAAGAGCAGGTTCGAGGTCTTCAGGTCCCGGTGCAGGATCCAGTTATCATGCAGGTGAGCAACAGCGCGCAGCAGCTGGCGAAGCAGGCACTTGATCTCGCCGGGCATAAAGTGCTGCTTCTTGTGCCGCATGGTCTCCATCAGGCTCTTCAGGTCGTGCTCGACGTAGTCCATCACTGCACATTTTATTTTCAATTTTTCTCATGAAAAATAATTGCACAATAATGTTTGTTCTGATTTGTTATGTTATGGTATTGAAACGGGAAAAGCACTTGACAAGCTTGCTTTTCTTATATGTGGATTCTTTGCGAGATGGAATTAGGGATAAAAATTCGGTACATGCCCATGGAACACGTGGTTCTTTTATTCTTGGTATGAAGTATGATCTAATAGACTGTTGGCCCGCGACACAGGGTTCATCGATTGGTTTTTGGAATTTTAAAATCGGTTCAGAAACAACTAAGTTACAATGGGAGATATTTATGGTGAACCACCCTGTACGGAATGTGCAAATTGTATGCAAACCATCATCTCATATATACTGTGTGGTCCACTAACCATGGTCAAAATTTTAACATTTCTTCGATTATTGATTATTTGAAGGATATCCAGTCAAATGATGTTCGAATAAGTCGAGCTCCCCTCTCCAGAATCGAATGCAAATGTCGGGAAACTGATTAATGGGTCCGAATTTATTGTTTCGCCAAAGGGCATACATTCTTAGATCATCGACTATAACACTGAAAAATTGCCACTTCCGGTTCGTATGACGCCCTTGGAGATAGTGACCTAGGCGAATGCAAACCGGCAAGCGCCCCAATTTTCGTGTGATAAGATCATTGCACTTCATTGCCGAGCTTCTTCTCAAACAACATTTTGAACTTTTTTCCACTCGAAAGGTGAGATCAGGGCCGGGGCAAGGACTGGGTTGCGACTCTCCGAGGCACTCCTTCCTGTTAACTTGGAGTAAGTGAGTGGGTCCCTTAAATGGCATACCGACTTAGAACATCGATAAACCCTGTGTTACAAAATTAAGTGAATATTTCACACACCAAAGTATGTTTTTCAACTTTACCTAAAGCACCAGGCACAATCGTAGAGCCAAAGGCTGCCAGAAACCAGTTCATACAACAAAAGTCAGAATTAAAAGAATATCATTCTGGTAGCAATATAAAAAAAAACAGCGCAAAAACGGCCAGAGGCCAACAACAGTGAAAATATTAAAAATACGGTACCAGTGGCGACACCTAGCGGCGTTATGATCTAGTATATATTTTGGGAATTGATCCGGTAACGAGATTACTATTAAAGCGCAGCTGGTTTAAGGTAAGCGAGGTACAGTTCGTTGCAAGGCTAAGTGGTGGCGCTAGCAGGTGAAGTGTCGAGAAGAAAACGAAATAATAAAATTACCAAATGAACAAATGAATAAATTAATTATGATGGCGAAAATTGCGAGAGATGAAAATCGGGCCGCATTGTGTTTCCAAGGGCAAGAAAAACAAACCAAATATAAATATTTAGTAAGATACATAAAGGATGAGGGAGTTTCACTGAGTTTTTGTTTTATCTTCGCTCCCCAAGCCTTTCGACGACATCAGGGAGGATGAAAAGCTTCTGCTGCAATACCTATGAATATCTTGTCCATGTTGCTGCCGACCACAATCTCCCGCACGGTCACGATGTTGGGGTGTTGGCCTTTCAGCAGCGTGTTGATCTCTCTTAGCGACGTGATCGGGAAGCCCTCCTTCTCCTTCTCCATCTTGAGCCGCTTCAGGGCGACGATGTCCTCGGTGCGCTTGTCTCTCGCCCGGTACACCACGCCGTAGGTACCCTCTTCAATCCTGTTCAGGCATTGGAATTCTTCGACGGAACGGCACCCCTGAAACAATAACACTCTTGATAATTTACACCAACAAGGTGAGCCACTTCCATCTAAAATGTAAAACTCTGTTCATCCTGGATATCTTAGTTATGAGATCTAGCATTTGAACAGGACGGTGGATAAATCCATTCAAATCAAGTATGTCAGGTAGTGCCATCTGTCAGCAGAGTGGTTTACTTGTAGTACCACTTTGTAGTCTATAGACGTAAGGGTATTTACGTGTGACTATAGATAACAGCGCCATACAGTGTGTCGCGATCTCTGGATCCTATTTTAGAGCTTTGCCAACCAGATGTCAGCAGACCGAGAGCGACTGATGACACCTGGTGGGTCGAAACATTACTAAACTTGGCTAATTCGTAGGCGGTGATAGCAAAACTCAGCAAACTATGGCCGATTTGTCCATATTCTTGGGGAACCAACAACCTAGTTAAATTCAACGCCACCAAAAATCAAGCCTGTATTTTCTCTAGAAAGGCGGAACTCAGTATGCCTGATATATGGGATGGATGGATGTATGAATGGGAGCAAAATATAACCAAAACTGCACCACAGGCAAATTTTTTTAATTTCTCAATGCTTAGTCACTGGAAGTTGAAAATGAGCATTCAAATATGTTTGTCTCTAGGGTATGAATCTAGTAGACACACAATTCGTTTCATTTTCAATATTTACAAAATTCATGTTTTTTCTTCAATAGTTCATGCAGCATTTTTTTTAATGAAGTAATAAAACTATAAAATAGTTATTTGTGCAACTAATGCAGAAAGTTTACAGCTCAGACGATGTCAAGAACTACAATCATGAGTCATGAGAGGAAAAAAGATGCTTCTGCACATGTTGCACACAAAATTCTTTCAAGGACCGAATTGAATTTATTTTTATTCCAAATTGTATCAAGAGTAATTCACAAAACGATAAATATCAGTAATTTTCAATTTTATTTCAGATTGACTCGTAATCACGAGAAAATTGGAGTATTTCTTCAACTTTCTTGAACACTGAAGAGTGTAAAAAGTAGTAACTTGTCACACGATCGGATGAAAATGGTATTTGCAAACGTTGACGAGCCATCGCGCCCACCCGGTATACCTCCGCTTGTTGACGCTTGTTGAAGCTATCTGCCCACCGCGTCTACCTCTGTTTGTATCTTGCATTGACTTTAAGGAATGCATTTTCACCGACCTATTCAATGAGGTATCACAAGTAGGGGCTACTATCGAAATGATATGCGTTGGGGTGGTTGTGACTCAGGGGGTTGGGGTTGTTCTGTTAATCATTCTGGTAGTGGGAAAAAATGATCAAGTGTGAATAGTGTCAAAGTATCAATTTCCAGCAACTTCGTAATAATAATAACCAATAGATATTTTCTTCTCACATATCAATAGTGTCAATCGAAATATTGTCACAAAAATGTTGTATATTTGAGGAAAATATATGATTTCGGTGCCTAGCAACACAATTCGCAGAACGTTTAGGAACCTCGATAAATCATACCTGGACAGCAGGATAATATGGGGGCAAACTCTCGTCGACTTTTGGTTTCGGCTTGTCACCATCCTTCTTATCGCTGTCTTTGTCTTCTCTCATCATTTCCTCGTCATCATCCCTGCTCGGCGACTCTGACCTTGACCTGAAAAAAATTCCAAGTAGAATAATCTTGTTTTTTTGGTAGACTGTACTGAGTTTAGTTCATTGTACCAGTATATCACCTGATGAAGCTAATGTGTTAGCGAAACATGCATGTATTTGAGAATTTTGTGGAAATCTTATCGTTTGTGAAGTTTTTAGATAAACTATTATTCTGAGATTCAACAACAACTGAAGATTAGAGATTTAGTTGAAGACAATACAAAGATAGTGTCCCGTAAATAAATCGGAGCATTATTTATAAAACACTGAAATTATTGTCTATCAAGTACACTTAATGCAAAACTTGAGAATTGTGTGCAAAGTACTTGAGTACACATATTCAAAGTCATCAAATTTAATTCTTCAAAGAGATCAACCTAGACCAATGAATTGTACATTCACATCAACCACTATCTTCATTTTCTAAGATATATGCTGAGAAGAGTCGAGAGTAGGAAATAGCGATACAAGTAATAGTAATGGCTTTCTCCATCACTTCGCACATGACTGATAACAGGGCGATTGACCTATAGTTGTTTGGCAGGCTTTTATACCCTTATATACCCGTTACCCGACTTGTAGATGGTAATAAGCTTTCAGAGAATTGGTGTCAATTCTGGTGCACACTTCTTGAGAATGGGTGGAAATCCATCAGGACCGTTAGACTTATTAGTTTTGAGACCGAGCAGAATGCATCTGATAGTGCGTTGACGAAAGACAATTTCAGGCATTCGACTTTCAACGGGTGGAATGTCTGGCGGCACTCTTTCCTGGGAATCAAGGGTGGAATTTGCTGCGAGCATCTCTGCGAAAATAAGCGCTTTCTCTTGCGATGTTGTTGTTAATGTGCCGTCGGCTTTGGAGAGTGGTGGGAATGAACTATTAGTGAAATTCCTTCCGTCTGCTTTAGCGAGGGACCTAAACCAAAGGGGGGCCATTGGGACAATCTATGAATTTTGATCTTATTTTGGCATTGTATAATTTTTTGATGCATCTATTGTTTGGCTGCAGTTATTCCTGGCTTCAACATATAGGTCACGTGCACGATGACCAACCCCGAAGGTGAAACATTGCAACCTCACTTTTCTGTAAAACATTGAAACACAACCTCACTTTTTTATTCGTTTACAAAGGAATCAAAGAACTGAAATAGTTTTCTTCAATATTTAGGCATACGAATCGTGTCTTTGAGCAATTCATTAATTCAAGCATGCCTTTTCATTGTGCTGTTGTACAATGCACAAAAAATCCAGCGAGAGACGAAGGAATATGATTTTTCAGGTAAATAGTGATCTCACATAGTTTCATCATGTAATTTTGTTATTTTTTCTTATTAAAATTCCTCCTGGAACTTCTGCAATATAAGCTAATACTGCTAATAGATTGAAAATTTCTACAACACACACGATCATATTTCGTCAGCATGTCAGACCAGTCATCCCGTTTGATTGCATGAATCCAATCATCTTGCATTCTTTTAGAAATTTCACGAGTATTTTCATTAGCTTTTATTGCAGAAGAAATTCCGATGAGAAATCAGAGAAATTACCAGATATCAAAATGAAAACAATATGTGAGTGACTATAGTAGGTACTTACTTCTAAATCATAATGTTCCAAGCGGATTCCTGTATCTCTCGCTACATTTTTTGTGCATTGTACAACAGCACAATGTGATGGCATGCGCGAATTAATGAATAGCCGAAAAACACGATTCATATGCCCAAATAATAATTGTGAAAACTATTTCAATCATTTGTTAACAAATAAGAAACGTGAGGTTGTGTTTCAATGTTTCACATCCAGGGTCGCTCATCTGGCAGTTCTTGCATGCAACCCATTCTGCTCTAGTCACATAACCTGTCAGAATGAAGTCAACTACCCCCTAACATTCCTACTCCGAGGAGCAGATTGAAAAGGAGCTGTCATTGACATTAATGCCATTTCACATTAGTTGAAATAATCAACATGGAAAACAAATTCCTTTTGTTAGAACACAGGAATTAAAATCGTTTCAGAAACGTTGAAAGGCTAACACGTTAACGTAAAATCTTCGATAAAATCCATATATCCGATTTGAATGCAGATTCCGTGAGCTATAGTGCCAACAGTGACTTAATAGGGGTCATTAAAGGTCAATTTTATGAACATTGAACATACTCGTCAATACTGGTTCTACAAAGAAATGAATAAATCCATCTCTGTACCTTTCGCTGCCGCTCCTGCTGCCACTGGCGCTCCTGCTCCGGCTGCGGCTGCGCGTTCTCGACCGCCTCTCCGAGTACGGGCTGTGCTCCGCCTCGGAGGCGGAGCTGGCCGCCGACCGCTCGCTGAAGCTGGCCCGCTCCGCACCCCCCGGACTCCTGTCGCTCTCGTACGTGTTCGGCTCGAACACCTTGAAAAGAACACAGGATCAGGGAACAGATTGAAAGGAAATGCCATCCTCAGAGTTACTAATTAAAAAACAATACCCCCGATTTGGAGATCGAATAACGTAACGTAACGCAAGTATTTTCACTCCTGATTTATAGATTCAATATCGTAACGTAACGCAAGTACTTCCGTTACACGATAGAAGATGAAAGATAGGATTTTTCCAATACTGTTTGAATATCGTTCCGCAAAACAGTGATCGTGGCTGCAACGCGAGAGATGCCCATTTCCATTTTTTTCTATGTTAGCAATGCCATCAAGGAGACCAGTTGAAGGAAGGACAATGCACGGATATTGAACGGATTATGAATATATCTGGTAACTTTAAGTTATCAATTCATTGATGATAAAGTACTTATTTGGTTCTTCTGGGGAGATCATGTATGATACCAATTTGTTGCTTTTTGATGTGTGATAGGTATTAAAACTGGAGCATGGTTGCAAAGATTTAAATCCATACGAGTATAGGTATATTTGAAAAATTGTTGAGGGTTGTTGTCATGGACATGAAGGTAAATAGCTTGAAAGAAACCTGTTCAGACCAGAAATTGTCGTTACTTTGGCCTGAACTGTATATTTGTTCCTTCAAAGATCAATGACAAACCTTTCAGAAAATTATGTTATTTATTGTCAAACTTACGTCGAAAAATCAATAACAGCGTACTAATATCGATAATACAAAGTGTTACTGTGAACCCGTCACATTCTTCCATCAGTAACAAAAGACATTCGTTACTCTGAATCAGCTGCTTCCTCAGGTCTAAAATGCAGATTTTAGCAATTGGTCTTCTGTATGTCCCAAGCTGTGTTTTGACGTCTACGACTCGTACATTGCCATCATTGCCGGGATACACTGCTTCGATGATCCCCATGGCCAGTTATTTCTTGGTAAATCACTGTCTGCAATGACGACGACATCACCAACTTTGGCATTCTGCGTTTTTCAGTACCACTTAGTTCTTCTGGTCAAGGTAGGCAGATATTCCTTGACCCAACATTTCCAAACTTAGTTCTCTATGTACTCAGCTCGTCGCCATTGTTTCTTCGAGGTCAGAGCAGCCTTAGTGAAGATACCGCAAATTGAAGAACCACTCGAAGAACCAATTAAGAAGTGGTTTGCGGTTAAAGCTTCTTTGTCGGAAGGGTCTGAAGAAATATGGGTCAGTGGACGACTTTTCACAATATGTTCTGCCTGGATCAACAATAGAAACTCTGCCTTTCGCGATTGTTCTTTGAGTATAGATTTCATAGCAATTTTTACCGATCTCACCAAACGGTCCCAACTGTCTCCCATATACAGAGTTCTCTCATGGCATTATTCATTTTTCGCTCAGAGCCCACCAAATCGGTGCCATTATCCGCGTAGATCTCTGCTGGACAACCCCTTCTTGCAACAAATCGTCGAATCGCCATTATTGCGCTGTCTGTATTCAAAGAACTAGTCAGTTCCAAATGAACTGCCCTAATTGTTAAGCATGTAAACAAAACACCGTACCTTTTCTCATGACGTCGACCAACAGTTACAGTAAGTGGACCAAAATACCTGTGCAAGTGAAAGGTCTAGCGAATGATCTCATTCTACAAAGTGGTAGGGGGGCCACTACCGGAACAATAGGTTTTGCTCTTAGGTTCTTGCATCGCTGACAAGAGTTCCAGCAACTTCTAACAGCTCTCCTTAGATGAATGATACAGGTTTTCTGCCGAAGCTCACTAGCAACATAATCTTGGCAATGGTGACCAGCTTTGACATAATAATGCATAATCAACAGATGATTGGATATTTGGAGTCATACCCAATATCTTCACTCACATCGGATCTACCTCTCACCCTGCGTATTCCATTCTCATCTAGGCAAGGTGTCAAATTATATAACCGACTCTCAGGGTCGTGGGAAATTTGTGGGGCTAGGGGCATGTCTTCCCCAAACTTTTTTTATGCAATTTTTGGCAGGTTGACCAGGAAATATGAAAATATCATCATTTTCACCTGAAAATGATACTCTTCTCTGCATGATAAGAATAGTACTTTTTCTGAATAGGGTACCTACAATAATGTTTTTGAAATTATTCTTTTTATAGTTCCTTTCATATTTTGATTGAAACATCACAAGTAGATAATGAAAAAGGGGAATTTTCCATCGAAAAATAATTTCTGGGAAAATTGTGTACCCTATTATAAGGAAAAAGAACTATTTTTGTTAGGCAGCAGACTTTTGAAAACGTTCTATCTCGAAAATGTTTAGTACTATCGAAACTGAACATAAGTACCATTTTTAACTTAAAATGATGAAATATTCATAATTCCAGGTCAAACTGTCAAATATTGCATAGAAAAAAAATTGGGGGACGAAATGCCCGTAGCCCCACATATTTTCCACGCCTCTGATCAAAATTTCGGAAAATTATTGACATTTCCAAATCGGGCATGGAAAGTAATATACATGTACGAAATTTCGTTATCTCAACACTGGGCTTCGGAAATATTTACAAAAAAACATCATCTCGGCCACTCTTTCAGATGGCTATTTAGGTAAACGCCAACAATAAAAGAAGGGGGCAATAATTTCGACAAAATCACCGATAAAAAGAAACACCTCTGCGTTAGTATTATTTATCATGGACTTTTTACACAAACCTACTATGAACCTTTACAGAAGAAGAGAATTATTAGATATAGATTCACTATATAAATTCAAATTAATGTCGTTCATTCATTCAGTTAAACATTGTCAAAAGCATTCAAATTTGGTTTTCCAAGTCAATAGTAATCACCACAACCATACAACCAGACAAACAGATCATTTTTCTGTCAAGAAAATTAAATCAGATATTGGTAAAAAATCCATCTATCACAATGGAATGATACAATACAATTCACTACCAAATAACTTGAAGCTGATTAATAGGATTGAAAAATTTAAAAGAGAATTCAAGAAACATCTACTCCTGTAATATTGACATCTTATCTCATTTTTATAGTTTTCTTGTACAACTACTATAGTTTTCAATTGTGTACCTAACAGCTGAGTCAATTGAGGATCATTTTCATTTGAACTTAAAAAAAAAAAAGATTCTTTTTGAATGTGAGTCTTATTTTACTGTCTTCTTTATTTTATTTTGTCAAATATATTTATGTATTCACTATGTTCACTGCTATAAACAAATGTTGTTTCTTGGGAATAATAAAGTTGATTGATTGATTGATATTTCCTAGGATTGTAGTTAATTTTTATATTATTTTTATTAAGCCGACAACTGACACAAACAAAACACTTGAGCCGACGACAACCAACTTGCCGCCGCCTATGAACAAAATGGATACTAGGTTGATTTCGATACAACGTCAAAGTCATGAACGACAGCTTGGGAGTTCCTGCGTATGGAGCAGAAGCGTTTTCAAGCGAGCAACTACAACCCTACATTTTCGGGTTGCTGCAATATGACTACTAGCAGTCTAGTTAGAGTAATAAGTCGGTGTCTTACTGTCATTATTACTCTAATTACTCGATTCATTACAATAATGTATGTCACTTAGGGCCGGTTGCATAAAAGCTCAACAATTATTTGATGTCATTTCAAATATTTGATGCGACGTTATAGATGGAATTCGGTTACATAAAAGGCCCATCATGTACTTAATGGCATGGTGACTCAACAGTGACGGCTCGTCAGGGACGGCAGGGTCGGCCGGGCCGTACCAAATAATTTGGGGAAAATTACTGAACTATTTGATGAATAAAATTATTTTCCGAAACTGTTTTCATAATTCATCGCTCATTATCCTACTGTTATGCCACTATTATTTGAATTTCATTCATGGAACCTTTGAGTATGCCATCCGCATATACACCGAAAATCACGAACTAATTCAGGACCTACGACATCTGGTAATCCCATCGTCAAAACGCCGCTTTCAGTTGAACCGCTCGCGTAGCTCATTACACTGATGCAGACGGCCGGCCGATCGGTGATTTCTTGTCTCGACGCATCGCCACAGGCATCGCCTACAGATTCCCCGCTTCAAGTTTAAATTTTCGCTTATACGCGTCATACCTTGGGTGCGGCCAAGCTCTGCTGGCCGTCCAACGTATCGATCGTACTTATCAGTATCAGTTGTTTGCAGTGCGCTCGCTGTGCACCGTATCGAACCATTCCGACCTAATTTTTAATATACGGATTGGCATGATTGACATTCTATTTTCATTTTACATTGTAGGTATTTATAATTTTAATTCCTATACTTATTTGTAAGTTGATGTTGGAATTTGAAATGTACAAACTGAAAAGAAAAATGATTTCCATGTTTTTGTTTACGCTTGCAGTAGTTGCAGTAAAAATGACTGGTGATTTTTGAATTTGCAATTTTTCAGTAATTCATAATTCAACATATCCATCTAATATTGGTATCAGAATTTTCCTTCAGTGCTTCTGAGCGTCAATAAGTTATAATTCAATTTGAATATTGCTGTAATGTAACCTACTGTGCCTCTGCCTATGTAGGTAATATGGCAAGAAAAATGTCAGCAGTCCAAGAGCTGAGTAGGTATTGAAACATCGTAAAAAAGCTCTGGTGACGAAAATGTAATAAATGTATAACTTCCAGAATATTATTTATTTTCAAAGACGCATGTAGCGGTTATAAACTACCTAAATAATATTTTATGCATCCATCGCATCGCGGGAAACATTATACCTACGGCTGCACCCTGCACGCGGGCTCGGCCAGCCGACTACGAAGGAGTGGGGTCAGTGGGGTGGCTTGTTACAGGAACGGCGTAGACCGATTAGTCATTGTTGTGCTTCTCGCGTTAGGTGAGTGGTTGTCGGTTATGTTGATTTTTTTGAGTTTACATTACGTTTTCAACAGAATATAAATATTTTTTGTTCACGAGTTATTTTATTTTTTATTTTCTTTCATTTTATTTTTTCGACTTTCTTGTTATTATTTTTTCATACCAACTAACCCTTATCCATCTCCTTTTTCTTTCCCCATTTCCCCTGACGAGAATGCTCTAACCTCGTGGTTCTTGCTGGACAATTTAATTTTTTGGTTATGTGTACAGGGTGATTCACCATAAATGTCCCCCCGTCTAGCTCAATTATTTTTAAACCGATTTCAAAATTTGAAATATCATCTTGAATGATTTTTGATTGAGTTTTTTTCCGCTACATCAGAAAATACAGGGTGCTCAGAACAAACGATCTACAGAGTACCATTTGATTTTTTTATATGGAACACCCTATTTTTCATTGTATTTTTATATTCTCCCTGAAAAGCTGATTTGCTCAATGTATCACACTTGGGGTCTATCGGGAATGATTACAGAGATATAGGGTGTTCAAAATCGAGATTTTTCAACTTTAGGATTTTTTTGAGACGAAACTATTCATCATCGGTCAAAACGGCTTTCATGTCCATATCTCAACTTTTGATTTACAATCTACTGACATTTAATAATTGGAACAGATACAGGGTGATCAGAATTCTGAATCTTGAACCACCCTGTGAATGTTCCAATCAAATCTCAATAGACAGTTAATCAAAAATTAAGATGGAAACATAGGAGCCGTTTCGACCAATAATGAATAGTTTCGAGACAAAAAAATCCTAAACTTGAAAAATCTCGATTTTTAACACCCTATATCTCTGTTATCATTCTTGCTAGACCCCAAGTGTGATGCATTGATGAAATCAGCTCTTCAGGAAGAATCTAAAAATACAATGAAATACAGGGTGTTCGATTTGGAAAAATCGAGTAGTACCCTGTAGATCATTTGTTCCGAGCACCCTGTATTTCCTGATGCAACGGGAAAAAAATTCTGAGAAATCATTTTAGATCATCCTTCAAATTTTTAAATCGGGTCAAAAATAAGTGAGCTAGAGGGAGAAAGGACAATTATGGTGAATCACCCTGTACATGCTTATTTGCCATCGAACTTCACTCAAGCCGCTGACCCACTTACGTTCGCATTTTAGAGCAATATCTTTACCCTGGCCGACCCAGGTTCTGAGGGCACGAGCCGTCACTGTGACTCAATCATCTAATTAACTTATGATAAAGACTATTTAACTAGAAAATCGGTTGCACAAAGGCCAATCAACTTTGGATGTAACATCAAATCGACTCATTCATGGCATCAACCGGCATCAACTTAATCAGTGCTCGACCACTGGTTAGGGTGACAACCAGCAAATGACTTGTGAAAGTTCCGCCAAATTATTTTGAATATTTCGCAAAATTTTTGCAACATCTGAAAAAATATGGGCTGGCGTTCTTAGTTCTTGTTTCATTCCAAAAAGGTAGGGTAGGTAAATCAACACAATAATGTAAGTAAATGACTATTATATTACAGAAAATGTCTCATCATTGTCCTCACTATCTGAAGAAGAACTACTGATTCCCAGGCCAAGAACCTTTCAAAATAGAAACAACCCATTCGAAATGATTGCAATACCCGATTCAGGTTTTCTTAACCAGTTGTAATGGAATTGAACTCATTCTGGATTTTTATCCATGTATCTCGTTTTCTTTTTAGACATATCGCATCCGATTGTTTGCATTGAATAATATTTTTATAGCTGTAGACAAGATGAATATAATAGGTTCATGAGTTTTGAACGGAAGATATCAATTAAAATATTAAAATCATGTCTAGGTACTATGGAAAACTTCACTTACTTTTCAACAATCTCCACTAACATCGTTTTTTGTGATTCAGTGTAATGTTCCCCTCGTTTTTTCTTCGAATTATCTATTATTTTCTTCTGTAACTTCTGTCCATCTGAATGAAAATCAAGCAAATAAACCTAACCTAAAATGCGTATCAACAATGCGCGGAACGCAAGGAGCAGACAGATTAGCGCTGTTGCCACGCCCTTCTCGTCATTAGTAAATGGAATGATTATTATTCGCGAAAATCACGAACCAATAGATGGCGCTAATTAACGTCAAATTTCAAACTGAGTATGAACAACAAAAACATTGCCGTATTGCAAATTGATTATTTGGAAATCTTTTTGTGAAATAGTGAATAAGTTGACTTCGTGAAATCTTCATAATTGACGTACAAGGTTTCCAGTATGGAAAAAATAACTTTTTGTGCAGAGAAATTGCCATTTTGATGTGGACAATGGTGATATTCCATTGATGTCACATTACAATTCCACTTTTTTTAAACATATGGAATGGTTGTAATAGTCCACTCAACACTTGCATGGATCGGAATAAAACCATAAGAAATCAGCTATCACAACAATGTGATATATGTATGAAGAAATAATTGAATTCATCAAGAAATATCACTGGCTGTTATGAAGGCGATGGAATTCTAGTGAAGGGGTTGGAAAAGAAGATATGGTTGGAGAGACTGCTAAGAATGAACAATATCATCGATTCACATAAACAAGTTATTTTCAAGATCGAATCATTGCAGCCAACATTTATATAATGATTCTAACTGCTTCAGAATATGTATATTATTTAAGGTAGGTACTGGTTTCTTCATTGTAAACAATAAAAGTTCATGCAATAATTCGAGTTTTTTCATCAGGGAAAAATGAGGTTCTGGAATATTCACTTTGACAATTGAATAATTTTCCAATAAAACACATGATTATGAAAGGGAATGCTGATTTTCCTTTACTTTCACAAGATACAACCAAATACAGCATAACAACTACAACAGGAAACACATTCATGGATTATAGTTTGATCACACAGTAATTCACAAATCAGTTTGTGAATTTTTATAAAAATGGGGCAACAACAAAACATACTCATACATTTTGGACATATTATTGTGTCATTGTCATTTGATATTTGGGAATAATATATTTCACCATTTTTATTCACATAAACTAGTAGAAGTTTTCCTCGTCCAATTTCTATGTCCACTTGTTCCATTTTGGTCAATTGGTTTTCTGTTTGCTGTTGTTCTTGATATTATTGTGACGGCTAGAAAACTTCATCTTCATCATTGAATTACACACATTATCCATCACTCTCAAAATCTAAGTACTTACTTTCTGTATAAGGAGTATAAGGATGTTATATGTATTGATTTCGGAATATTTACTGATGGTTCTGAAGTTTCTTCACGAGTTTTGGTAGTTGAATAAAAACTTGCTGGGTTTCGTTTCAACTATTTTGTGAACTTGCTGCATGTTTCGAAAAAATAAACGCAATTACCAGCACTCAGACACTAAGTAAACCTCAGAAAAACATAATCAAAATTCACTCAAAATAATGGTCGCCATATTTGTTTTCATTGTTGTTCATACTCGCAAGACTTGTAAAATTTGCCACCAGAGGCCGCACACTTCGTGATTCTCGCGAATAACATCAGATTGTTTATGCAACGAGAATTACATTTAACATAACATCAAAGTTATTGTGGCATCAGTTGTATGATTAATTTTTCTTCATGCAACCGGCCCTATGTTTAAAATCGAGTTAGCAATGCATGAATGACTCAATAAAATAGAAAAAAAAAATACCTCATCCGTCTCGACGTCCGAATTATCAGAAACTGTGACGACGGGCGGCTCATCGGCTTTGACGCGTTTCGCGTTGGCGTCTTCTTCGGCCGTTTTGCGCTTCGAGGCCTTCTCCAGGTGCCGGCGCTGCCGTTCGACGCGGGATTGTTCTTTCAATCTCTCCATCTCCCTTTCTGGAATTTGCAAGATAACTTTAAACACGTGTATAGGCAGATGCAACCAGGGCCGGACTGGTCCGTCGGGCGATCGCTCGATGGTCTGGCTCATTTTTGGCCCGCTGGCCCGATATTTGGTAGAAATTTTAAATTTCATACAAACTAGGGATCGACCGATATAGAAATTTCAGTCGGCCGATACCGATATATCGGTCTATCGGCCGTAAACAAGTTTTCTCTGAAGCTGGTAATATTTATGATGCAAAACATAGCAGGCTTACTCCTGATAGGGCAGAAAGCTTATTGTTTTTGCATCACGACCTACCAAAACTAAATTATCAGTATTAATCAGTTATTTTTGTATTTTAGTATGATGAAATAATTTTACCTTACTGTTGCAATCCGCATAGGGTTCTATATTATTAATTTTTAATCACTTGTCAAAGAATTTAGTTGATTTTACGTTACATACTTTTTATTGGTAATAAAGATATATTTTTCATGGAAGTGTATTTTTTTCATTCATTCTTCAAATTGGTTTTTTTTTTCAATAAAAGAATATATCGGTCTATCGGTTTTTGATTTCGGCCGATACGATAATCGGCCAATGAGGCCGATATCACCGATAGGCCGATATAAATATCGGTATCGGTCGATCCCTAATACAAACCCATGTTTTACTCTACCCTGATCTAGAAAAGGTATAAAGATATTCATTGACGTGTCTATTCCACAAGTTGCATGTAACTATGTAAGAAGTTCTTTTCTATATCAAAATTAATTTTGAATAGAGTATGAAACTGTCTGCCCCAAGATCACGTGAAGGCTTTCATATTAATATCTTCTGAAATAGTTATTCATGTATGGAGGGAGAAATGTAGGCGTCAGCTGAGGCCATTACACGCCAAAAAATGGCAAAACTGCAGCGTAAAATGTATTTTTTTTTTCATTGTGACAATTTAATTTATGTAAATAACATCCCGTGAGCCGCTGTGATCTTGTCATTAGGACAGCGAAAAAATGTTACCTTAACTTTTCCAGCAACAGAACGGAAATGTAACATTTGAATGCATGATAACCAAAACTGTAAACAAATCTTTGATGGTTTTTATGTCATTTTCTGCCAACTTGATTTGTCAGAGAAGTATCTAATCTGTGGAAATGTCGCGATTCGGACAGTTTTTGAGTGGAGAAATTTGAAAAACCATCAACAATAATGTGATTTACGTATTCATTTAATGGGCTTATATCACAAAAAAAAATTATTTCATAATTCGATGGAACTCACCCAAACTAGCTCACCACCGAAAACCGTTTCTTGCTGTGAGCTCCCTACGTTTTATAAAAAAATATTGAAATCCCCGATTTTTCGGACCTCTGAAAACGAGGCGATGATGTGACGTCAAAACCCTAATACTGAAACAAGACTATTCCAGACAGAGACGAATGATACATGATTTCTGACAGAGTGAATTAGCGCGAGATCACAGTTGAAAGAATTAATTTATCAGTTGCCTCTGTCTCCGTCGGGCGTTTGGTATTTTCTTTTAACTATGGCGAGATAAGGATTCTACGTCATAAGAGGGTCCGTTTTCAGAAGGTACTATTATTTATGTCCAAAAATAAAACATTCTAGTTAATTTTTCGATCGAATTATGTCATCAATCATTATTTATGTATAAAAGGATCATTATAAACATGGTTTGAGTTAAAAGTTCTACTAAGGTGTACACGCCCATTGTCTTATGGAATAACACTGAGCATTTTTTTAGGTCGTAGTAAGCTTGACGTTAAAATTCGATTTTTGTTGCTATTAGGAAATTTGAATTTTCAGGTGAATTTGAAATCATTTTGACTCACCTTTATAATACCCTCCTCGCAAACCTAACTATCAATTTGAAGGGATTTGACCTTGAACAAGAAAATATTTTTCCTGCGGCGCTATTTGCTTTCTGTCACTCCCATGGCATGAATAACCCCCTCCCCCCCTATGGAACAAAGCTGATGTATAGGCGTCTGTTTTATGTTCATTAGTTTTATTATATTTTGCGAGATATTTTGTTCATTGTTCTTGGTATCAAAGAGGTATATTTATTCTGTTTCATCTATCATTCAACTACTCGATGAAGTCCCGATATTTTTGGTGATGAATATTCTTGGCTTGCTTTGGGAAAAACACCCGTTTTGTACCTTCAGTTTGGCCCTAAATGCAATGATATCTACAATGGGAAATCCTCAGATGGAGAATTTTTGCATTGTGACAAGAGCATCATAGTTGTCCAGCGCTTTTCCATTCAAAATTGTTTGAATTTGACAATACATTTTATGAACATCAGAATTGAAAAATAATTTCATAAACTATTGAGAAAAAAAGCATGAAGCTGTGTAATGAAATATGGGAATTCCGAAGAAAATGGATTTCATGTATTTACTTTTACAAAAAAAAATATAAACATTGACAATGAGTTTGATGTGATAAAGGTTGGATGTGATGTTGTTAGTAATAGTAATGTTACTGTTTGTCCATATTAGAGTCACTGGATGTCATTTTGCTATGTCCCATTTTATTCTACTATTGTTCTATTCTACTATCAAGTTTTATATATATTTTCTGACCTTGACAATGCCTATACTGATGTATTTCAGTGGATGGAGTTGAAGATTTTGTATTTATATTAGTAGATATTATATTATATATTATCTAACTAATACCATCCAGTGACTCTAGTCCATGTAATGTCACTTTGCCATGTCCCATTCGAGGTCCCATTTTTTATTATCTCCTCATATTAGTATTAGGTTCTATAAGGGGTGTTCTAAGTTCTTGCCTAAGTTATCATAAACAGGCAATATCTGGATCATTATGACATGATAATTAAAAAATGAAAAACTGCTTTGAATGGCATTAAAGTACATCTAAATTTGAGTACTAATGTATGTAATTTAAAAAATGTATTACATTTAATAGCCTTGTGATAAGAGTTGTGATAGTCACCCCTCACTTTTCATTTTGAAATGGTGCCATCTTTATATCATCATTGAAAATTGCATACCATTTTATTTTAAATACATTTACTGTACATTTTCATTATTAATAACAACAAAAACATTAATGTTTTGTGACTTTTCTTTCATCATCAAGTTGTCTCTGCCCATGTTTTCAAAAACTTCATTGAATAAAAGTAGATTACTTCTTTGTTTTGAAAAATTAATGGCCATCTCATTTTATTGTATAGTGTAGAAAATCAATCATTATTAAACAGTACCTAGTGTAATTAATCTCCTTCTGATGTGTGAAGTTCTTAAAACATGGGCATAGGCATTTTTCATTTAAGTAACATAAGAAGACATCAGTTGTTTTCAAAATACCAAGTATGTACTATTGTTGTATTCCAAATAGAATAAAACCACTTGCGAGACTCTTCAACCAGTTTGAGAATAAATAATCAAGTGTGTGAGGATGAGATCCACACTAACTATGTAGGGAAATTGCTATATTATTATTATTGTTATATGCACTGTGCCTCTCTGTTTATCATTTAGTATGAGTTTCAGGTGGATGATAATGCATAACTCATCAAGAGATTGTATGATGGAAACAATTGAACTTGAATTTGTCTGAAGAATTTAAAATAGGGAATTTAAGGAATACAAAGATCACATGAAAATTCAACTAATATGAGAAAAGAATTTGGTTCCAATCTAGTGTTATGTAAATGTATTTCAATTTATAACATGTAACATAAAAAGATGTATAATCTGATCCATCCCCTAACAACAAGTCACCAAACTGTATGTTCATATATCATCAGGTTTTTTAATGCAGAACTGTAGCTGTTATTTACTCAATGTTAAACTAGCAAAACCATATTCCTAGTTGCCAAAGTCATTAGATGACATAAAAAACTACAGGAAAACATCCTAATCCCTGGCATAGATTGAAAGTTGAACTTGTTTTCCCATAGTTTTTAATGTCATCATCTAATGACCTTGGTGACCCAGAATAGAAAAAAGTTGAATCAGAACAAACTTTTTGTGGTGTTAAGCTAGCAGAACATTTTCTGCATAAATCAGAGATAAATAAATTCAGCAATTGGGTATTGAATCAAGTATGAATTATGATATCTCATCCAGTAAATTACCCAATAGCTAATGCAAAGAAATTTTTGGACTACTATTTGGAACCTACTACAGGTACTGAACATTTTACCTGCTTCCAGCAGTTTTTCTCTTCTGTGATCCTGCTCAGCTTTATCTTCTTCAGTCAACTTATCCTCTTCTCTGTCTTTCCTATGCCTCTTTTCCTCAGTAGTGATATTGATAATCTCCTTCACCAACATCCCTGCCTCACCATGTAATAGGTCATCATGACCCTTGTGCTTCCTATCCTTATGCAGGCTACTCCTACTTTTGCCATGGCCTTCTTCATCCCCTTTATTAGATCTCTTGCTGAGTAATCTTTCTCTCAAATCATGTAGAGCTTTGTCAGCTTTATTACGTTTTGCTTCTTCATACTGATCATGCTTATGCTTATCAGTATCTCTGCTGTATCTAGGATCCCTCATTTCTTTTGTTATTTTAGTTTCATGTTTATGTGATTCTGATCGTTTGCTTCTAGGCTGTTCATCTTTCCTCTCTCTATGACCTTTCTCAAATGAACCCTCAAAATTCAGTTGCTCAAAATGTTTTTCTCTATAATATCTTTCTTTTTCCCTTTTATAAGGATCTTTGCTTCTCCCAGATTTTTCTCTATGGCGTTTTTCTCTATGAGAATGTCTCTCTTCTCTGTGCCGATCACTTCTTCCACGTCTCTCATGCCCTTTTTTTTTAGGTCTTGATGATTGTGTGGTTGATCTTGCTTGTGGAGGTTTTATATCCAAAGATTCATCGTTTTCGGCATCTTCTTCAGACAGACTGAAAAAAAATATTTATGAAATACAGAGAAACCCTGGTTCTCAAACCTCACCTGAAATCCATAGTTTCCTCTTCTTGCTTACGTTTGGGATCTATTGGACTTTGTTGTAATTCACCATCTTCACTTTGTTCATCAGCTGAACCACGTCCGGACATGATTTATTTCAATTCTCTGTTTTCATCAAAACATTTCAAAATAGATAAGTTTAGATTTCAGAAGGTTTTTGATCGCGTTTTTGAACTTCAATGAAAACAAGAAAATATAAACATACAACAATAAGGTTAGATTGATCTTGATCTCATCTTCTTATTTTCCGTCTCCTTGTTTTTCAGTTATTTTCGTTTTAAATTGTGTTCCTACCGTCTCTTAACTCTCTTGAAACTACAGAGTGCCGACAACAGCTGACACTGCTGACAGGTTTCAACTGTCAATTCCGAAAGTGTCATAAAATTGATAAATATTGTTTACTTGGTTTTTCAAATGAAAAATAATCGAGAATCATAAATGATTACAATTTTGCTAACTTCTTTTAATAAATTATTTTTTTACTATGCATATGATTAATCTGATGTTTCCTCATCAAGTGACGTAACACTACTCCGAAAAATTACCAAATCATCCCAACATTTGCCCAAACACTTGGGTTGAAAATGTGATAATTAAATTACCGACTTCTAGTCCTTTTCAATGTGAAAATTCAATTTTACGCTTTTCCAAATGAGAACAAAAAACTTTCTGCTTACATTATGTGTGATAGTATCAGTCAGTCTGATTTTCATCATATTTGGCCAAGAAAAACCTGAAAGTATTCAAAATATTGTCAGTACAACCAATGAACAAATAAAAAATTTCAAGGTAAGTAGACAAGAAAAGGGAACATGTGAAACTGAATTTTACATTTTCATAGGATAACCTTCATGATGCAGAAACTAAAACCCTAAATGCTGATGAGAAGTACCTACATCGTCTAGGTTTCATGGGTCAAACCAGACTTTACCCACATGATGTTTGGAAAAATACTTCACTTCCTGTTATTGTTACCTATGTCATAGAGGGTCAGGAAAGCCAGGCAGCTGGTCTTATTTTCAATATTGCAAAGATACTACCAAATAATACCATTCTAGTTTATAATTTAGGAATAAGTGACCAAGGATATAAAATGGTAAGTACTTAACAATATTCTGATGAGGAAATTCATTTTCTACTTACTCATAGAGTAGCTAAACTGGTCAACATTGATAATGTTGTGCAAAATATAGCCTGAATTCAAAGTAGAACAGCTCAGGAGCTTGCTCAGAAGTTTCCTAACCCATTTAAAATCAGTTTCTACCAATATGATTAGTCTGATATTAATAGAATAGAATAGAACTTTATTAATGGTTTACCATTGCATACATCATAAGAATATCCTAAATCAGTATGAATCTATCAGGACCTATCACAGTAATCAAGCACATATGCTCATGAAGGGTTATTATGGGTATTAATGGTAATTTTCTGAATAAATTGAAATTGAAATTAATGACTTCTTGAAAGACTGAAATAAATCACTGAAAATGTCAACATGTGTACATTGTGTCCAGTTTTCTATGCTTCTGTCTGATATCTCAGTTATCTTTGAAGATAGAATCTTGCAGTTTTCCATGTCCTGTGCCACTGTTTTGGGAATCTCAAGATGGCCTGATCAGATTTTGCATATAACTGCATGAGCCTATCTGGTTTGATAATTATATCAACCAGCAAACAATAGTTGAATATGTTTAGTCACCATACAAATGGAATTCTTGTTTTGATCAAGAACATTTGTTATTTTTTTATTTCAGTTTCACAACAAAATGAATGGTGTGTTAACCATCATATTTGTCCCTCCACTTATATTTTGTATAGAAAGCCATATTATTTGGTTTGCCAACAAAGTGTGTAGTAGATATAGGTCATGCTATTGGTATCTTGACTATTTTTCAGGTTCTTGTACCACTGAATTAATACAGATTTCTTATGAACATCAAGTTTATTCATTACATCAAATTCTCCAAAAAATAGACATAGTGTGTCTACTTCTTCAACACAAGTAACATTGTGAAAAACTCATTTCCTCTTCATGTAAGTTGGAGAAGTCCAATACAACATAAAAATCATATGGACATTCATCTTTACCAAAGAAAACTATTATCTGGGTGTTGAATGGTGGCCAACTTTACAAAATATCTACAGTATAATTCTCTTCATTGGTAATTTTTCTTCTCCATAATTTGAATGTACTCTTCCATTTATCCTCCTTATATGCCACTCAATGGTCTTTATTTAATTTTGACCACAGTTTATCATCTTCTTCCTGCAAGAAATGTGTAGAATCGAAATATGAATTCAATATTGAATTGATTGAATTCAGGAATAATACTCACCATCACATAATTTCCATTAACTGATGAATTTTCCTCATGATTAATAATTGGGAAGATTACATCAGTGATACTCCTTGACAAGAGATTTCAAAATTTTCTCAATCTTCTTATATGGTTCTGGTACCTGTCATATACAACCTCCCTGAGGATATATCCACTCCTTTTGTACTAAATGATCCAAAAATTGAATTGAGAGTCCTGAGAAAAAGAAAGGAACTTTAGTAATGATTTCATACAGTGTGATAAATCATTACCAGATTTAGTACTAAATTACAACTCCATAATAATATTGAATACAGTGATTTCATAATACTAATACATAATAAGTAATTATTATTCAGCAAATATGTCACCTACTTATAATGTCAAACATATGTTTGGTTTCAAAGCCATCTTAAAACACTTATTTTGGACAAGAAAAACTCCATAAAATCAATGAGGTTGTTCTAAAATACCTATTTTATTTTAATGTTTTGTGATCTATTTATCGTTTTAGCAAATGTATTTTTCTCCTAGGCTCCATTTAAAAAAAATTGGTAAAAAAATAAAACTTCACTTAGATGGCCATGACTTCAAAACTGGATGTATTTATTAATGCTGAACAACTTTTTTAAATAACATTTCCCGAAATTTTTCAAAATAAGAGTACTTTACTCTTGTCTCAAAATCAAATATTTGAAGGCTCCTTGTACATTACGTGTGTTTTACTGTATTTTGTTGGTGCATGTATAGTTTTAAGGGATGAACAAATTGTCATCAAGAATAACTTTTCCTCGAAAAACCCTTAATAAATAACATGCATACTTTGGGGATGGCACTGTATATAACAGTGAGCAAGCTGTAATAATATTTTAGTTACAATATAGAGAATGCGAATTCTCAATGTATTGCTTTATATCAATATATATCCTTTTTTGTATGTTCATAATTTATCTGAGAATATTCCTTTTCAACAATATAATATAGTTGAAATACTATCTTTAGTTAGATTTGAAATAGTTATATGTTGTTTATAACAGTGAGCGAGATATTATGATATTTCAGTTACAGTTATAATGTTGTTGAAATACTATTCCTAGTTCAATTTGACTAATTTTTACAAAATATTGGTTGTTCCACAAACATATTATCTAAACCAACTAATATCTTTGGTTGACGTTGAATTTGTTCATGTACAATTTTCCCTCAATTGTTTTGACGATCACCTAATCATTGAATGTGCTGTAGTTTTATTCAACAATTATAATTATGTTGTTGATTGAACACATTCTTTTGTCAATTCAACCCATACTACACCCAGTTCCAAAAAAAAGTGATGCACTTGATATTTGACATATCTTCTTAAAAAAAATAGTAGGCCGATTTTTTTTTTCATTTGTTGGTAGGCAATGCATTTGTCTTTAAAAAAAATAAAGAGGTGAACATTTTTTCAAAGCCTTCTTGATGGTGGGGGAATAACTCTAACCATGATTTATTCTTAATTTTTGACTCACCCTGTGTGATAATTGAGTAATGGTATACAAAGTGCTTACACCCTATACGAAAGAGGCTTCTTTTGCGAGCATTTTTTTTTTTTTTTATTCATTGATTTATCTCCGAATTACAGCCTTTTTGCTGATTCCTTATGCTTATCCCACAAATTAAATTTATTGAAGGATCAGAGTACTAAAAATTGATTGGGTTGTACTCTAGTAGGATCACATATGCCGTTGTCATAGCAACTAATTTGTTGTATGCCTCCATATTTGACCATTTGTCGTTGTGTCATCAATTAAGTGTCTTGTTTCATTGACTAAAATTACATAAAATGCCTCAAATAAATCCTGAACAAGTAGGAAGATTAGTTGCGTTAGTCATCGTGCAGTGGTAGTTCATGAAGCAACTGCTCGTAGAGCGATCCGCAAGTACGAACAAACAGGAAGCAGTGGAAGCACCGCTCGGAGGGTCGGTTCTGGTCGCCCCCGAAAAACTTCTCCAAGAGATGATCGCTTCTTGAGATCTTCGTCAAATTCGTGATGTTGCAGTAAGTAAGCAGACGGTATGTAGACGTCTAAAAGAAGTTAATTTAAAGAGACTCGCAAAAGGTCCCAAATTATTGCCCGAACATCGTGCTGCTACAAGAAATTTTGTTGAAAATCATGGACTGAATGGTCGAATGTCTTGTTTACGGATGAGTCAAGGTTTTGCCTCAACATGGTGGATGGAAGAAAAAGAGTGTGGAGAAGAACTGGTGAACGGTTTATCAAAATTTAATAACAGAATGCGAAAGTTTTAATGGTGGGTCCGTTATGGTGTGGGGAGGAATTTCAATGAATGGAAAGACACCCCTTCATGTTTTTCCGGTGAGGCAATCGATGAATGCCCAAATTTACATTGACATTTTAGAGCAGTATGTCATACCTTATGCAGAGTTAGTGGGCAATAATTTTATATTGATGCAGGATAATGCCCGACCACTCACCGCAGCAATAGTGCGAAACTTCTTAGAAGCTACTGGTATTACCACATTAAAATGGCCTGCGAGAAGCCCCGATATGAATCCTATAGAACATTTGTGGGATGATTTAGGGAGAAGGCTACGTTCTCGCGAGAGGTCTCCGGAAAGTCTCGCAGAAATGGCAGATGCATTAGTGGAAGAATGGGATCGTATACCAATGGAAACGATAAGCAACTTCATTTCCAGTATGCCTCGTAGATTAGAAGTTCTTAGAGTTGCTAGAGGAGGCAATACACGGTATTAAGCAGTCATCCCAATTTATAATTTTGTTTTTTGGTGTATGATAAATTGACATTCATCATACAGGGCGTGGAAAGAAATTCTGAATTGAGACTCTATCACGAATCTGCGATTAGAAGTCTATAAAAATCACAAGTTTCCAACACTTATAATTTTGTGTTTAATAAAAATATATTTTTTTAAATTATTGGTCAGTTAATTTCATTAGAAAATTGTTTCTCGATAAATTCAGAAAGTTTGAAATCTGCAAGGATTCAGCAAAAAAAACTGTAATTCGGAAAATTTTAGAGATAAATCAATGAATAAAAAAACAAAATGCTCGCAAAAGAAGTCTCTTTCATATAGGGTGTAAGCACTTTTCATGCCATTACTCAATTAACACACAGGGTGAGTCAAAAATTAAGAATAAATCATGGTTCGAGTTATTCCACCACCATCAAGGAGGCTTTCAAAAAATGTTCACCTCTTTATTTTTTCTCAAAGACATGCATTACCTACCAACAAATGAAAAAAAAAATGAAAATCGGTCTACTATTTTTTTTTTTTTTTTTAAGAAGATAGGTCAAATATCAAGTGCGTCACTTTTTTTGGAACTGAGTGTATTTCTTTGAGTGCAGAGAAAATCGTGTTCCATCTGATGAGGAATACATTGTTTTCCACTCGTTCAATATTTCTTGTATTACCTTGTATAGACTTCTTCAGAAGTTTCTGCAGACAAAACATACAAGCAAGAATCTCAACTCCCAATTTTTTTAGATTAATCGTTTAGTAAATGCATGATTCTGAATAAATATTCATAACACAATTATCAAAGCTCTAAATTTGAAAATTCCGAAAATTCCGAGATCATCAGGATACAGGTCCGAAAAAAAAAAGAAAATCATAAGCTCAAACGGTAATGTGACGACCACATTGTAATTTTACACTCATTCAATTATCATGCTGTATTAATTCTATCTGAAGTTTCATTGTTTTGTATTGCCATGACAAACTGTTTATAGATCAGGCTAATCATCGGCGAAAACTGATTCTAAATTGGTTGCACCACGACGTTATCAATGTTGACCAGTTTAGATGGATTTGTCATTGTCCTGTAAAAACATGTCACATCAAGGTACTCTAGTTACAAGTTTTTTAGTAATAAAACAACGGGTTTTATTGCTCACCCAATAAATGCCTAGAGATTCGAAATTTTTCAATATTCTTCATTTGAATCTCGATTTGAATGATGCTGATATTTTTAGATTAAGGTCAGCTCTAACCTTGGCTCTGTCATTATCAATAATTCCACTCTTCAGGCTGACTGAAAAATGAATGCCTCAAGCCCTAGTGCTATTTTTGTTATCTGATTTATATTAACAAAAAAGCAAATGCAATAATGTGGCACTAATAATCGTTTTATTCCAATAGCATTTCTAGTCTGCGATTGTAAAAAAAAATTTTCCTACGAGCGTGCGGAAAAGTTTTTCAAAAAATTACACGACTCAGCCTACGGCTTCGTTGTGCAATCCTCACATACGTGTGTTAATAATGTCTATATCCCACTTGTCAAGTGAATAACTATTACCGCACTAGTGCTAAAACTATACTTTTCCGCACGATTTTTGTGTTATTGTAAATGAGGATATGTAGGACTAACTGAATGATCTACGTAGCTATTCTGTCTTATGTTGTTTGGGGTGTGTTTTTTCAGTTAGCCTGTATAGAAATTATATGATAATTTGATTGATTCTGATGTTAACATACAGGGTGTCCCAGAATAACGTTCGTATATACTCCGGAAGGTGATTGTACATATTAAAATTGGAAAAAATGTTCCTATCAACATGTCCGAAAATGCTTCCTTTGCCCTTTGAACATAAGTCCTCAAATACATTTTTTTCTCAAAATAATCTTCAACACTTGATATTTCAATCAAGAATTTCAGTACCAAGGGGTAGTTTCATCACACAAATGGTTTGGTGATATGGAGAACATTATTTAATATACAGGGAGTTGTAAAACTCGACTTTTTTTTTGATTATTCATAAACACTTTTACATAAAAAGGGACTCTTGTTAGAATGCCTATAAAGGAACCGTTTTAGAGAAAATAGTTATTTGTTTAACTAGGCAGCAAAGTAGTAGATTGACTGCCGTGGCTGAATTCATAGCCGAGCGTAGCGAGGCTAGGAATCCAGCTAAGGCAGTCAATCTACTTTGCTGCCGAGTTGAACATATAATTTTTTTCCGATTGTTCATAATGATATGGGAGAATATTGTATTTGCGAATTAATACAATTCCCACAATCGCTACGCTCGGCTATGAATTCAGCCACGGCAGTCAATCTACTTTGCTGCCGAGTTGAACATATAATTTTTTTTCCGATTGTTCATAATCATATGGGAGAATATTGTATTTGCGAATTAATACAATTCCCACAATCTCTTTATTCTTCCTGTATAGTGTTAAATTAAAATAAAATTTGATAGAAATCGCAGTTGTTGGTTTGATAATTCATGAAATTTCTGACAGTTGTGCGAAAAAATATCGGTATATTTGAATTATTATATGATGGAGAGTAATAGCGACCTGGAAGTATACCTACACCTCCATTAATAAGGGAGGTGGCAAAAAATATAGAGTTGAATTTGTTGCCGGAGAAGTCTCGGATGAAATATGAAGGAAATTATAAACGATTTATGGATTTTTAATTTTGCTGATACATATCAATCAGCAAAGTAACCACTTTGCTGCCTAGGCAGGAAAAGTAATACTTTGCTGATTGATATGTGTCAGCAAAATTAATATTTGCTGCCAATCGGAGGAAAATGTAATTTTTCATTTTGATCGAAAATATTGACCAAGTAGTATTTCCTGGAGGTGTTTTTTTTAAGGAATATTTTCAAAGAGGATTTCTGGCCGATACCTATTCTCTCAAAGAATCTACATCACGTTCAAATCTAATAAAACAAAACTATCTGAAAATGCAAAATAATTTTGATTTCTTTCGGACATGAAAAATTACACTTTTCTCGAAAACGGTTCGTTTAACGGCCTTCTAACAAGAGAATCTTTTTTTGTTGAAGTCCTTGAAGAATCATAATATATTGTTTTTGGATGTATGACAAATTGATATTGATCATAGAGGACGTGAAAAAAAATTCAGATTTTTCAAGGCCTACTTTTGTTTGTTGAAGGGGTCAAAATTTCAAGAGCAAATAATACGCATTTTTTTCGAAAAAGTGACCAGCCTATTCGATTCAGGCATAGCTGAAATACCTCCATACAAAATTTTAACGCAATACCTTATATAGGGTGTTCGTTATTCAATAGAAAAATTTCAGAATTTTCGCTTTTTCTATTCACTCTGTATTAAAATCTAAGGAGTTGATATAACCGGTGAAGTGAATTCCACGAAGAAACTTATAGAATACTTAGATACGAAGTTTTATCATTGTAAGTTATACAGGAAGATCTTTCTAGGCCAACAAAAAATCAATAAAACTAGAAGTTGAGGTTCACCATTTTGAAAACCCAAGTAAACCGTTTTTCACCGTTACCGTCGTTACAGTATCTTTGAAATTCTTTTCGATTGATAAAGAGCTGTCAACTTCAATTTAATTAATTTCTGGTAGACCTAGAGAGATCTTCCTGTAGAAGTTGAAATGATGTAACTTCCTATCTGAGTATTCGATGTGTCCCTCCATTTAATGACTAGTTCACTGGTTATATAAACTCCTTAGATTTCGATACAGAGTGAATCGAAAAATCAAAAATATCAAAATAATATATGCCATTGAATAACTAATAATTGACACTATAATATGAGATATTGCGTTCAAATTCTGTATGGGGGTATTTCAGCTATGCCTTAATCGAATAGGCTAGTCACTGTTTCGAAATAAAATTGCCTCATAGTTGTATTTGAAATTTTGGTTATTTCTACAAACCAATGTAGGCCTTGAAAATCTGAATATTTCAGATTTGTCCACATTTCCGAAGAGAGCTCGTTGACTTCTATATTATGGAATTTTTGTTTTTGAAAATCGGTTGACGAGTTTCAAATTATGGTGTTGAAATCGCATACACTGTATATCCATTTGTTCATGTTCATAATATACAATCATATTCTAGTATTATTATGATGAGATAAAACGTGAGAAAGGAGGAGCATCCCGCGATGCCCAATTCCCACGATGCCCATTTCCCACGATGCCCACCTTCATGTCGACGATTACGAAGATTGCCGAAGAGCGCAACGTTGCCAGGTCAAGAGAAAAATTCAGAAAACACAAGATTCCCATCATGCCCACTTTTCATAGATTCCCAGGATGCCCAATTCTTACGATGCCCAATTCTCACCATGCCCAATTCTCACCATGCCCACCTCCTTTGGATTCCCACCATGATGAAGGTGAGCATGGTGGGAATTGGGCATCGTGGGAATGTATGATAAGTGGGCATCGTGGGAATTGGGCATCGTGAGAATTGGGCATCTTGGGAAATGGGGCATCGTGGAAATTGGCCATCGTAGGAACTGGGCATCGTAGGAATCTATGAAAAGTGGGCATGGTGGGTATCTTGTGTTTTCTTAATTGTGCATCGCGCTACGCACCCTTTTCATAGCATCGGTTACGAGTTTCGCACCTCCCTGTATATATTTTATGATTTTTTCCTTACCATGAAACGATTTGTAAGATGAAATTACCCTTGAGTACTTACCGAATTTCGTGATTCTAGGATCAATGGTAAGAAAGATAATTGAAGGAAACTGCATTTAAGGGCCTATCTTCAGAGGCCCTTAGGAAGCGTTTCCGGATACATGTTGATAGGAACATTTTTTCTTATTTTCATCTGTAAAATTACCGCCGGGAGTGTACGAACGTTATTCTGGGTCACCCGTATAGATAAACAGAAAGTGATTAATACATTACTCAATGACATACCTAAAGTTGAATATCTGAAAAATAGTTCAGAATATTTGAATGCTATCAAAAAGTTGTTGAAGTAACAAAATGAGGAAATATTTTTGGCCAATACTGAAAATATAAAACCTAAGAATTCCATAATGATCCATTATACAATATTTATGTATGTATGTAATTTCAGCTCACAAATTATTGTAATTCTACCAGATGCCAAGTAATCAGTTTTGATTTATCGGAATTTCCATCTCATGTAGAAATAGATGTCCTCCATGCATATAGACCATTAGTAATTCAGGTAAATATTTAAATGTGCATATACTTTATTTTTTCGTTGACCTCTAGAAAAATCATATTTTACGTTATAATTTCCGAACGAAAAATCGGCTATTTCCGAAGGCACGTACTTTTCGTCCGCAAAACCTCTTCGTCCGCTGCAGAGTTGCCAGTTCCACGGAATTTTCAGTAGATCTCCTGATTTGCATATTGATCTACTGATCTACTGAAACATTTCATAATCTAATGAAAAATACTTTGACACCTGTTTATTATAATTAACTATATAATTATTAATCTTTTGGTAATCAGATACACTTATAACTGTCTATTGTCCCATCTTTGCAGACTCGACTATAATAATAGACAGTGTTTCGTCCTTGGTACATAAATAACTATTTCCCCATTTTTTATTAGCTTGTATACAAAAAAATCTTGATTATTTGAAAAACTAATTTTGTGCAATCAGGATATATCTGTGGACCATACATTGTACAAATTATTGAACATATTCCATCTCTCAAATATTCTTTGAGTCTCACTTTGAGTGAACTGCTGGTTTTTTATGCGTAGATCATCAAATGCTTTCAAACCTTCAACAAATACATTATTTTGTGCAAGGTTGGTAGAACTGATGACTATACAAATTATAATCAGTTCTACCAACCTTGATTTTGTGTACATTTCCTAAAATGTTTGTCTATTGCATCATGTCTGGGATCCAGACCCTACTTTATTTCACATATCAAGACTCGGGTACAAGATTTAACATATTCCTCTACTGGGTGCTCAATTAAATAATCATCTAACAAATCATATAATGGGAGTATATTTTGAATCTCCTTCCCCTATTATTTATCAAATGTGAAGTTGATGAGCAATATTAATGTCCAATAATGCAGATATTATGAATCCTTAGTTTTGTTCTTCCAGTCAAATAGCAGCTGCATCTATTCAATACTTTTTTTAGCTATATCTTCTTAATTTTTCGGGATTTTCTCTCCTCGTTTCTATAAAATGAAAATATGCGTATTACTTCAATATATTTGTAGTGGGACAATGCATGGGCGTGTACACCTTAGTAGAACTTTTAACTCAAACCATGTTTATAATGATCCTTTTATACATAAATAATGATTGACGACATAATTCGATCGAAAAATTAACTGGAATGTTTTATTTTTGGACATAAATAATAGTACCTTCTGAAAACGGACCCTCTCATGACGTAGAAACCTCGTCTTGCCATAGTTAAAAGAAAATACCAAACGCCCGACGGAGACTGAGGCAACTGATATATTAATTCTTTCAACTGCGATCTCGCGCTAATTCACTCTGTCAGAAATCATGTATCATTCATCTCTGTCTGGAATAGTCTTGTTTCAGTATAAGGGTTTTGACGTCACATCACCGCCCCGTTTTCAGAGGTTCGAAAAATCGGGGATTTCAATAATTTTTTTATAAAACGTAGAGAGCTCACAGCAAGAAACGGTTTGCGGTGGTGAGCTAGTTTGGGTGAGTTCTATCGAATTATGAAATAATTTTTTTTGTGATATAAGCCCATTCAGATGATTTGCCCCAAAATGTCACTGCGTTCAACAAATTTTTCTATCAGGGAGCCTAAAAGAAAAATCCAGTAGCTTATCAGTGACAATTTGTTTGAAAAAATGTTTGAGGGAAAGAAATATTGGTGTATTGAAAAAATATCGAATTTTTACTTATCTTCGGACGTTTCCGGACCGAATCTGCTCCCGTTCTCAACATGAAAATGCAAAATATTTCTCTTTGGAAGTTGTGCTGCTTATAGTTTGACACTTTTCAGTGACATACTGATGTTGGCATATGAATGAGTGATTTTAGTCAGTTCCGCGTATTTTATCATGTAGCTTGAACCAAACATCAAATGCTTTGATTGTTCATGTCCATAAATAGTGCTGTCGTTTTTTGGCCGTTGATTTTAGCTATTTTCACATCATATCATTATTTTAATAATGTAAAATGATTGATTGTATTGAGTCAGCATAAAAATAGTAAAACTAATAAAGGATAATTCAATTTTACGGTTCAATCGCTACGTCCTCACTCCTCAAGTCCCTGGACTTTCTTCTTCTTCTTCTTCTTCTTGCTAGACTTAAGTTTCTGACAATTCTCCCCTCAGTTAAGATCTGACATTTTCAATACCTAACTCACTAAAATTTATTCATAATTCAATTATATTCTGTTCAGGATGCCCTCTACAACACAGGAGCAATTTTCTTCATAGAATCAAATTACCGGATACTGAAAAATGCATCTCATGATGTGATCACCAGACTTTACAAGGACATAGTGAAAAACTCGGGTATCCTGGCTTGGCCATTCGAATTGAAGAACCCTGTGTCCAGTTTAACACACAAGAAAATGTTCGAGTACTTTCACACTGACGCAGACAGCTTCCTTTTTCTCCAGATGGTCAGAGCAGATATCCTGGTCATTGTTAATACGGAAAGTATTCACAAAAATGTGATGTTGCCATGGGTGCAATGTGCTTTAACTCAAGACTGCATTATACCTATAGGGGCCCAATCTGCAGGTTGTAAGTTTGACAAAAAGCCTCAGTTTAGATATTCTGGGTGCCACAGCTATGACACTTCTGCATTGAATATAGCCTTGGGACTTGTTTTTGAACAGAACAGTGAGTCATATACATATAGTGATTCTGTTAATTATTTTGAAGTGGTTTCTTTAAATAAAGCTGAAGCTATGTTGAAGGAACTGGAACAGAATTCTACTACTGAAGGACGCTTAGACTCCTTTCAATGAATGTGTGAATTCATGAGGACTAATTTGATACCAAACATTTTTTTTATACACCTTATTTTTTTCATAATATAATTATGAATATTTTGTTTGTAACACTTGGTCAGAAATTCAGTTCATTAGAAAACTCGCCAAGTTTCATCATATCTCAGCCAGATTTGAGGAAAAAACATTATTTATTTCTCAACAAGACTTCTGAACTGATTCAGTTTTGTTATTTGCTTGTTTTCAGTCCTTTTAATTTACTATCCATTCCTTTTATAATATACATAGGTTCGTAAAAAGCAAATATGTGATCCAATTCAGTATGAGAATATTTTTATATATACATTAAAATGTATAATTATCTTCATTTTTTTCTTCGGCAGGAAGACTCTCATTTAGTAATCTGCGTCGAAATTATACCTTACTCTCATTCTTACAGATGAAATCTACTCAATTTAGTAGAAGAAAAAACTTTTTTTTTTTTCACCCATCATCACTGTTCATTAATCAAGGTTTTTTATTTACTCATTTCGATGCCAAGAGTTACGTTAACCAAAAATGTATGTGATTCGCATTGCTAACTTATTTAGGGCTGCTTTTAATTGATCTCAAGATGAGTTACTTCTGCTCAATATTTTGAAATTGTGTGGGTCCTCATAATATTTGACATGCTATTCATCCCTTTCAATTTTTTAGATTAGTTTATTATAGCATAGAGTTCAACTAGTCCTGACCATAATTATTTATTAACGGACACATGTAAATATCTCAGTTGTGAAGAGAAAATAACTTTTTTCTACGGCTATAACAAAAAATTGCTCTTGTTCTACTGTGTTTGATACATCAGTGAGGAACTTTGTATGTCATCAATTTTATTTCCGTATCTGATATCACAATGACACCATTGTGTTATTATTTCAAAAAAATCGCCCATGGATTGTCAAATTTCAAGCGATGACAGCTTTGTCTAATATATAAGCATTACCTGAAAGAAAATCAAATGGCTACAAGACGAAGAAATTCAAAATGTCGCTGTTATCTGTTACAGCCGTAGAAAAATCATAGTGTATAACTCGCACGGAATGCTAATTTCCCACTTGAAACTTCATTCTCAAGGCACTTGGCATTTTTGAAAAAAAGTTATGGTTATGGTCTGCAGTTGCATTTTTTCATTTTTGGCTACAGTTAAGTTGAAACGGGTTTCTTTCAATTCCTTACCATGTATCATATTTCGGATCGCTCTTGATGTGTTCAGTAACGAAAATAATATGTTACTAGATTCCGTTTTGCGTTTTGTATACCGGGTGACACAGGCTCGGGCCACTCCTGTAACTTCTGCAGTCGTAAACGATTTTTTTTTTTAAATTTCATACAACTATAGAAGCAACGATTTCGGATTTGATCAATTTACAATCGAATATGGAGGACCGATTTTTCTGAAAATGCCAGTAAATTATTATTCTTACTATTAGACTCACATTTCAATATCGACCCGACATAATGATACGTGGTAAGATAAAGAAAAAGAAAAAATAATCCGCTTCCACTAAACTAAACCATTGCCAACTATGATTCCCATTCGAAAAAAATGCAATTTCAGGCCAAAATTTGGAATTGCACATCTTTCAAATCTTCTCAACACCACTAGATTATACAGAAAAAAGTACCTTGAGAATGTGAACGTTTTTTTTTGCTAAATTTGCAAGAAACTACGATATTCATATGTATCTAATAGTCGAAAAATCAACCTTTTGTCTATTACTGAAAAACGAACACAATAGCAATTTTTTTATTTTGTCAGTGAATTCATCTTACCTTCCCATTTTCTGTATCTCGTTCATACCAAGGTATCCTAAACAAACATGGAAATTTGTCCATCCTCTTGAAATGTTTATCATCACTTAACTATGAAAAAAAATATGTTCCCAATTCAGGAGAACGTATGCTTTTATTCTGCATTTTTGTGTTTTTCGTGTTTTGTAATATTGCAAGTGCATAAAAGTAGTCAATTTGCTCAAAACAAATGACCCTATTTGTGCCTCATTCGTCAATCAGTATTACTGCAAAAAACATACAAAGTGTAAAAGTGAATTAATGTAATCACATAAACCTCCAAATAGTGAAGTTTCATCAGAAGCAGAAATTTCTCAATAATTCCTAGTAAAAATACTGTATATTTTCGATCCATATCTCTTATTGTGATATTCCATTTCCAAAAATCCATGCACAGCTTGAAAACTGTATTTGGGCAGCAATGAGACTTATTTTTGTTGCATGAAAGACATTCATTGAAAGGAGTAATAAACTAGTGGCAGTGCATATTATTTCAAGTGATATTTAGTATTAAGAAATATACTTTACAATTTCCTGGTGAATATTTTTAAGATTATTTGTCATGGGCGTCGCCAAGAGGGGCATAGCGATCAAAACAAATACATTTCATATTTTCACACTTGCTTTCACAGACGGGATTGGCGGAATATTCCTGTACGATTCACTTTTGTTTGTTTCCCGATTAACGGTGCTACTATGAAGGTGGCGCATGGAGTTGGTAACAACGTCTACAAAAAATACGTTGGACCGATGGACCTTGTTCATGGTCGAAAGCCAGGCGGTATGTACGTACCCACCACCGTCATTGGTTTTAAAATTCAAACTTTTTATATTAGTGAATCTTTATCTTGGCATAAATTATATATAGTGAGAAACCAGACAATTTTATCGTTTACAGGGTTTTCCTGAATGTCATGTCAATATCGAAAGACTTAATTCATCGGCTTATTGTATGACTGAAAGTTTATTCATGGTGAATCTAAAAGTGAGGTTTTTTTCATTTAACAGGGTATATATCGCCAAAAAATGTTGTTTGGGCAAAAATTGTTTATGTAAAAAATGTAAGATAACAGCTTACTTTGAAACGAAAATCAATAGGTTGAAAATGTAAAAAGAGGTTTGTAATAAACTGTAGGGTATTTAATGCTGGAATAATATCGGCTTTTTTTGCGTTTTTTGAGAAAATGTAAATAAAATGTTTCATAGTTGGAGTCTTCTTTAAACTTTCGAATACCTGTACCTCCGTTATCTCAAATATTTTATGTAAGCAATTTTTTGCCAAACAACTTATTTTGATGAAATATAAATCCTGTTTGGAAATAAACCTCACTTTCAGATTCACCCTGCATAAACATGTGTCCTGTTTTTTTTTTTAAGATAGAGGATATTGAAGCTGGTGATATTGATTTAATTGTTTTTTCATCCTGTGAAACCTGGACGGACAAATTCTCTAATTCCGAAATGTTTCAACCAAAGAAACTTTTTTGTACAAAAGTAGATGCTTTTTCGTTTTTTCCATAAAATTATAATTTGCTCTGATATTCAATTTTACAACTAATTCATTCTCCTACAGAAATTCACTAGAATATCACGAGATGAGCAGTTCTCTAGTAATCAATCTGGAAAACGATTATTTTTAATTTCTGAGTCAACATGTCTTTCAGTTGTAGAATATTCCAGGGAATTACCTCTTTCAATATTGACGAGACAATGGATAACACCCTGTTTACCATTATTTTCCTGAGTTATTGTGCAGCATCTAACTTTGTTGATTGTCCTGTACATACATACTATTGTATTATCTTGATTCTGGGAAAGTTGTTATCATGTTTTGATACCTATATCATTGTTTCATCTACACAAATTATTTACATACTGACTACACATTTTTTCCTTACGTTACTTCAGTTGCTATTTCAATAACTGTACCGGGTGGGCAAAATTGGACACTGGAAGAAAACTGATGTCGGTGCCTGAGGGTCTATTCTCATGAAAAAGTCTATGGTGAAATCCGCATATCGATATCTGTCTTCGTTTCGGAGTTACAAGGTGTTTTTAGAAAATGGCATTTCTGAAAAGTGGCTACAGATATTTTTTTGCAAAAATTGTCTGTTCTCATGAAAATAACTGCAAAGCATTGAGTTTGTGATAACAATTGTTCAGAAATATAACTTGTTCTTCTTGAAGGAAAAGTTCTATTTTGCAACTAGGTATACAGTGACTGATTTTAGTGCCTGAGGATCAATTTTCATAACAAACACAATGCTTTGGAAATGTTTCATAAAAACGGAGAATTCACATTTTCGAAAAACTCCTTGTAACTCTGAAATAAAGATCGATATGCGTTTTTCACTGTTGAGTTTTTGATGTGAATTGATTAACAGGCACCAACATCGGTTTTTTTTATATCTCGAACGGGAATAGGACTTTCCCCATAAAAGTGCCCAATTTAGCCCACCCTGTACATTATTGTGATGCAGCAGTTGAACCAATAAGTAACACAATAATTGTATACCCCCTGTAAAAATCGAGCCGTCGCCCATGCAATGTGTGTTTCCATCTGACTGTTGTATAATACCAAATGAGTGATTTTTTTTCTCAAAGTGAAAGAAATCTATAACTTGTACATAGGTACTTTATTATTTAAATTATATTAGTGGATTAGTTGTAGTGGTATCGGAAATGTGCCATAATTTTTCATTTTCATTCAGCGATTCATATAAATGACCAGTCATGTATTAAAGTATTGAATATTTCACTGGAATGGTCTGACTTTCTTAATACAGTGAGGTTCAGAAACGCTGCCTAATATGGGAGAGATTTAGATACAACTTTGATATCTTATAGATAGTATCGACACGATACAATATCAGCAAAATATTGGCTATGTCCACGGCGTCCACAGGAAAATCGACGATGGCATTCAGTTTCCTTTTGGACATTTCTATCTGTGAAAATCGTTTCAGATGAATCACTTGGGAGCTTTTGATTATTTAATGCCTTTAGGTATTTAAGATTCTCTTTACGTTTAGAGCAGGTCGGTTTTTCTTCGCCATGCAAAGTATCTAAATGAGTCCTAGCAATGCTTCAACGCGAGTGGACCCGATTGCTGCGGTATAGGCAAGGATAATTCCCAAAATGGTCAAACGTGATCGAACAAAATGACTAACGAAATTATCGACTATCTTCGGAATGTTGGCTCAACCGACCCTTACGCTAACAAGATGATCCTCCTTGTAAAATGTTGTAGCAAAATTTGTCTTTAGTTCTTGGCTGGTTCGTAGGCGGCGCTAGCCAAACTCAGCAAAATATGGTCAATTTGTATATACTCTCGGAATCTGCTAGAGTCCATCCATCTGCAAATTGCTGATATATCTAGAGTCCTGTTCGTTTGTGCTTGCTCTACCTACTGAACTTGATTTTTTTCTATTACTTTCTCTGTTTACATCATGTCATGAACAGATACAGCTATGGGAAAAAATCAACTTTAGCAATTTCAGCAATAAAAACGAACAGGCCTTATGAATATCCTTCTTTCTGAAGCAGAAAAATCACTAACTTTGATATGACGACTTGAATAATAAAATTATTTCAATCCGGCCCTGATTCATCATTCATTCTTGCATAAAACTATCTAAAAATAAACTTGGAATATATTTTGCATTACCCTGGATTACTCATCTCTACCCTTCGCTATTCAACAAAAGGTAGTTCACCTTGTCGCTCATAGATACCGCCTCCTACTGAATAGAATTTTCTGGCTTCATTTCTCTCTCAAGAATGGTTCATATTGTTAGTGTAAATTCACTTTTCAGGGGATACTTCCATGACAATATTTGTCACAAATCTTTCCATCACTAGTAGTACAAGTCAGAGGAATACGGCGAACTTATTTATAGCACACCTCTTTGTCGTCAGCTTTGAGATTTGTTCAACAACTCTCTTTCAAAAGTCGTTCTGTTCTTAGATATGCAATTCTGATGCTTGAAACCTATAAAATGTAACGTCAGACATCAGACGACAACTACAGCTCCTGTATAACTTCTGTGAAAGTCTTCAAATCCCCCTTCATGCTGAATGTTTTTG